ACACTTACTTCCTTGAAAGAAACCTCGAATTCAAAAATTTAGCGATTTTTGCATACGACGTCACTAGTAATCCAACAATTTTTTTTTGTGTAGTTTTGAACCCACTTTCCATAAACGAAAATTCATAAATACAAGATGTATTTCAATTTAACGATCTTCTCGATTTAATTTTATACCTTCACAATATTCTTAAACAAATAAAAAGAATGAAAATGTTGGAATATTTTAGTGTCGCATATCAATTCATGTATAAAAAGAATGATCAGACGAATCGTTCCATGGGTTCCTTGTTGGCCTATTCTATCCTATTTATTTTCGTTTTGTTTCGTACAATAAACAACTAGAAATCCTACCTTGACATTACAAACCATTGGTTTTTTTCTTGTTTCTAATTATGTTGACCCTGAAAACTCATCGTAATTTCTTCTTTTCGTTCTGTCAATGCTTTTCTTTAAAAAATTGTTTCAGGTAATTAGTGAAATAAGGTCAGGACATTTTCTTTTGGTACATTTTCCTCGAGTCAATGATGCGAAGAAGCATGTTGTGGACGTTTTTTTTGTTGTTGACCTTTAAAATAACTACGCAAAACGGTTGGTTTTTCATTGTTATTTACTTCGAACTTGAGTAGTTGTCTTATGAGATCTGAAAAAAAAATGAAAGAGATCAGTGAATTTAAAAAAAATGAAAAGAAATTATTAATTGTCAAGGAAATAGAAAAGAAACGAATATACTAAACTTCAATGCAGAAAAAAAGAAAAGCAATTTTTCGTTATTTTTTTCTGCGTTGAAAATTTGTCTATTATTTGCCGAAATATTTTTTTCTTCTGCTACAATGTATTTTCAAATTGATGAATTCGATGGTATTAGATTTAGAAAAAAATAATGGGGACTCTTCGTTTTGTAGCTATGTTGAACAAAATAAAGTATTACTGGCTAAAATGTTACGTGTAGCTACAATGGTTTGTATAGCGAAATAAAAATGCGAAATATGTCTAGACTCAACAAACCATATTTTAAGTTATTAACCGTGTGTTAAACTAAAACTTATAATACGAAAAATATTTTTGAGAATTTTTTCGTGGTTACTGTCAACGAAATTTATAGTCTGAAATGACGAAATTGATTGCAATTTTTGCTTTATTGAAGGGGTATATTGCGAATGTATCATTGAATGGGTGTTTTTCGTCTGGTAAATATGAGCAAATCTCACCAGTACGTTCGTTTCGTGAGATTTTTTTCTTTCAATGAAATTCTGACGAAACTTGCTGGTGCGATAAATGCTTCCGTCTATTTCGTTCACTTGTTTCGTTTATTCTACAAAACAAAAATGGCGAAATGCTTACTTGTCAATCGAATGTAAATATTTTCAAAAAAACCTTATGAAAATCTATTGAGAAATATTGTTATTTAGCAATTTTAAAAATTACAACTATTTGTATTTTACTTTTCAATAAAATAATTTAACCAGGCAATGTCTTACCAGCACTTTTCAAGTCGTTTTAGAGAGATATATTTTTTACGTCGAGAAAGCCAAAAGTCAATTTTTAATTGCGTTGAGTTGTCTTCATTTTTACCGCATTGCTCATTTAACGTCATTTACACCAACCATTTGACTCTAATTTTGATTAATAATATAGTTGACTATAAATACATAGCCAATTTGTTCAAATTCATATATTTTCCTACGAATAATAGCAACACATATCATTTTTCAAAACTCAAGTGAATTGAAAACCCGAATACAATTCTAATTCCACAAAACACAAAGAAATTCGATCTAGTGAATATGTTTAATATGAAGCATTTTGCACTACCAAATCTAGAGCTTATTGACGGAGAAGCAAATATCCTAGTTGGTTTATTTTTTCTTTGCGCCAATTGTTTCAGATGATGTTTTCGCAATGCAATAATGTTTTCTATACGAAAATAAAACGAAGAAACTAACACTTATGTCAGTTTCCAAAAAAGAAAACCGCCGTTTCTCATTGTTTTAAAACGTTCTTTCGTTATTACTGATTCAATTTCGAGCGCAACGACTGTCCGTTTTTAGAAAACAAAAATTGGTGTACGTTTGAAATAGAAAAAAATAACAGAGAATTTAATATAAAGAACCATTCGTATTCCATAAATTTCTAATCAAAGTCTTCAAACATTTCAAGGTGATTGTGCATTTTATGTTGGAATAATGTTACTAAAAGTTTTTTTTTTCTTTTTCTTTTGTCGCGTATTATTTCCTTATCATTGAAAAACGAAAATTCTAGGAGCAACGCATGAACACAATTCTCTTTCTTCTCATATATATCCGTTTTTTTTCTGGTTTTTGCTGTCTCTGTTTTCCTAGGAAGCTATTTAATAATCTAACCTTCGATCATCAAGAATGTTTCATTTTAAACAATTTTCAAAAATGGCCAAAAGGTCGAAATGCGCTACTTCAAAAATGTGGTCGAAATGGTCGAGCAAAATGCACTAGAACGGTGAATAAAAATAATGCTTAATAAATGCAGTTTACAGTCCTGAAGCCAACATCTTACTTTATCACATGATTTATTACAATCGTTCATTCAGAGTAATTATTTTTAATTTGATCTAAATAATCCTTAAAGATTGATTTGTAGTCTATAGAATGCTTCTGGAACAATTCTTTTTGCCTCGTGATCGCCGAATTCGTAATTTCGAAGTTTTCGGGAAGGTTTCACATTTTAAAACAATTCTTCGCTTCTTGAATCCGATGTTCTCGGGTTCCTTTCCAACAGTGGACCCTGTCCAAGTATTTATGGACCGCTTGCGGGCTAATGGAATTATTGATCTAAATTACAAAGATCGTAATATAAAAAAATCAGCAACTAAAACGTAAATGATTTATCTAAAACCAAAATTTTTTTGTAAGATTTACCTTCGCTATAAACAAAGCAAAACTTGAATAGTGTAAGTTCGGGATGAAATGCACCTTCGTTCCAATCCCGGTGAGCTCAAGGAATTTGTAGGCATAAATCTCCGGAAGATCAGCGTGTTGCCAGTTTTGTAGTCCCATAAGTTCTTTCACATAATATTTTCCAAGTATAGTTTAATTATGCGAAACTCGACAAATGAGGCCGCCCTAAAAAGACAATATTGTACAATTATATTTAATTTCAAATTTAAACAAAAACCTACCTGTACGTTCGAACTTATCCTAAATAAAAACATATTTAAATAATTACTTAGTTTTTCGCCTACCTGACTGTAAAATTTATATCGGAACTTATTGTGGGTAACATCAGCGTGGTCGCGCAATTCAAAATAACTCCATTATCTTAAATGATGAATATCTGAAATTTAAATGTAAAATATCTATTGCACTCTGTAAACATACTCGACTAATTCGAGAGAGAAAAATTAGGAAAAGATGTTAATAAACTCAAAGTTAAGGAGAAAATAACAATGATAATCACGGGTGAGAAATCACGAAATCAACGCGAGCTACAGAAGAAAAAGAAGTCTCTTTTCTATTCATAAAAGTTAATGAAAGAATGCGATGTTAGCAACAACCCGTGTTCCTCTGCGTCTCTGTCTCTGCTCACGCGTCTCTCATTCCTTTCCACTCTAGCCTTCAACTGGGGCATTCCTTTCCACTCTAGCCTTCAACTCGGGCAAAAAGTGTGATTGTGCTCAGTCAAAGTGAGGAAGAGAGAAGAAGGTCACACAAAGAGAAAGAGAAATTACCAGGCTGAAGGTGTCACAAATATTGAGAGAAGGAAAAAGAGAGTGGTCAATCTGTAATATCTAGAACTCGACGAGTTTGGTCACACTCGAAACTTCTTGAAGGTACTAGCAAACAGGTATGAAAGAACGAAGTGTATCATTTGAGAACGGCTAACGTCGCAGAATTTCCGTTTTTGTGTTGTTATTTCATTTTCAATATGTTCAAGCAAAAATGTTTATGATATCCTGACACTTTGAGAACAATAAATGAATAAAAGTACACAAAAATTAATGAAAAATGAATAAAAATGTTAACGTAATGTTTGACCTTTTGGTCATTTTTGACAATTGTTAAAAATGAGACATTCTTGATGATCGAAGGTTAGAAATCAATGAAAAAAAACCTTAAAATTGCTTGAAAACAATGTAAACCGGCAAAATACATATTATTATTTTGGCTAAAAATACATTATTTCCCTAATGTGGTTAAAAATAAATATCGGCGTTTGAAGATAAATATTTTTACGAAACTGATTTTTTATATGATTTAGGCAGATACAAAAAACAATTATCAATTGTAATTTTGCAATGCAATTGGTCCGTAATTTTATTGGGAAATGCTACCAGCTCTTCATTGTTACTTTTATCAATGCTAGTTTTACAGCGACGGCCACAATTGAGCAGCTCAACGACTCGTTCGCAACAGCAAACGACACCGGGTCAGTCACATATGTTTCCAGCGAATGGATCTATCTATGATGGGTGGCCATTCTTTCCGCGCACCCAACGCTCTTTCTTTCGATTCAAAAACGTCCGGCTGGCGTTATGTTCCGCAATTACGTCTGTTTGTGTGCGTCTTGCTTTCAGCAAACCAACACATTGGCCCATTTTTTTAATTGTATTCGATTCTAATTTATCGTTATTCTTTTCTTACGGAGAGCGAATTGCAATTCAAAGTTTTTGAAATGTTTCGAGTGTTGAGTTATGTCCTTTACGCTCCATTTCTTCATGGACACCAGGCTGTTTGCGACCTAAAGATTAGTGAAAAAGAGGAAATGGCGAAAAAAAAGAAGACCTCCCGCTGCGGTCTCAATAACACGACGATTTGCGTAATTTCTGACACATATTTTTTCCGTGAAAGTGTGTGTCAGCATTTATTGAAAAATTATAACACAATACATCTTGGTTAAGCGCACTCATATGTAGAGTTCAAATAATCTGTTTGATAAGAGTTGTTGTGTTAAAAGTGAAACTCATCTTTTTGAATGATTTTCATCATTTTTGAATAATTCATTCGAGTAAATTTCAGAAATAATACAATGGAGGACGGTGCTGATTGGGTTATGGACGCTGTTCCAGCGGAAATCGAAGAAGCCAAACATGGATTGGATCTTTTCCATTTGGATTTCAGTATGACAGGAGGCGTCCTAGTTCTTATCATTTTGCTACTATTTGTAACATTGTTAAAACCAAGTAAGAAAATTTTTTCAAATGATGTTTTCTTATTCGTTTTTATCTAGCTCTTCATTTTCCTGGAATTCGTTTCATTCCTGAGTCGATAATGCTAATGGTTTACGGACTATTAATTGCTTCTGCCATTAAATATTTTGGCAACTCTAGTGAAGTAAGAGTATATCTTTTTCTGAAATTGAGCTCAAATTTCTTTACTGCATTAAAGTAAGCATATGAAATAAATCGCAAATTAAAATGAAAGAAATAAATGCGGCAAAAAAAAAACGAATTCAATCAGGGAAGGGAAAATAAATGTTTCATTTTCAGTTCAAACTTACTCCAAGGCTTTTTTTTGTTTTTTTACTTCCTGCAATTGTCAATGACGCAGGATTGTCAATGAAGAAAAGATCGTTTTTTCGATTATTTGGGAAGATCTGCCTTTACGCCGTCTTTGGAACAATTTCAGCAACTCTGTTCACTGGTAGTTCAAAATCTTCAGTTTTTATTGTTCATATTTTGCTTCATTGCAGCAACGGCTCTCTATTTCGTTCGAGATTTTTTCGTTTTTCAAACCTCATTCCTTCCGCTTCTTGTTTTCGGATCGCTAATATCTGCTGTTGACCCAGTTTCTGTCTTGAGCACCTTTGCTGAACTCGATGTCAATCTTCCCCTCTTCACTTTAATATTCGGCGAATCAATGATGAATGATGCCGTAACAATTGTAAGGATTAATTCAAAACAATATTTTAAAATTCTTCACCAGGTGTTGTACCGAACTTCAATTAACATCATAAAACAGAGTGACGCGACTCACACAATGATGTCGATTGCTTCAATAATCAAGAACTCGATTATACAATTTTCGGTGGTTTCATTTTGCGGAGTCGGAATCGGGCTAATCAGCGGATTAATTGGAGTTTATCTGATCAAGTGAGAGACATTTATAGAATTTTTTAAATAATTGTATGAAGGAAAAACGTGGGCAATCAGATTTGTACGCCTGTATTTCAACTATCTGTTCCGTTTGCCTGTTATCTCTTCACCGAATCACTTCATTACTCGGGAATTTTTGCGTGAGTGCATATCAAATTTGTATTTGAAATTATGAATTGATTGATTCAGGTGCGTTTCATGCAGTATGCTCATGAGCCACTATATGAAACTGAATATGTGCGTGGAAATGGAACTAGTTGTTTTTACATGCTCAAAGCTTTTTTCATCTACCGCGGAAATGGTGATTTTTATTTTTCTTGGTCTATCCGGAATATCGAACTACCACGAATTTGACTTCTGGTTTTGCGTCTACACATTCATCTTTTGCTCGCTTATCCGATTCATCAGTATTTTTATCTTCAGTTGATCTTATAATTTGTAATATTTTATAGATGTGTTTTTCATTTCTTATTTAACGAATCTATTCGGTGACGAAGATTCCCGACTTGAGTTGAACGACCAATACATTATATTTCATGCCGGAATTCGTGGAGCGGTTTGTTTCGGTTTGGTTCAGTCTATCGATGAACGCGTTATTCCGGAGAAATTGTTCTTTGTTACCAACACTCTCTTTATGATTGCCGTCACATCACTGTTCCAGGTTACTTCAAATTTCAGAGCTCGAAATCAAATCTATGTGAAATTGCAGGGATGTACTGTGAAGATGTTCATGAAACTGTTGAAAGTGCGTGGAAGCGACGGTGCTATTCCAGCTATGGGACCGGTACTATTGCAAAAAAAAATTAAAAAATAGAGAATTCCATTTCAGTGGATGAAAGCTTTTAGAAAATTCGACATTCATATTCTGCGTCCGTACCTTGCTTCGGAGAACATCTGTAGGCCACGCTTGCGTTTTATGTTTCAAATATGCTGTTTGCAGACCTCGAGACTGACAAGACGTTCCACGATCTCGGCCTTCCCAAAGCGGTCAGCACAGCTTTGAGAATTGGCGAAAGAAGTCACACCGACCTGTACGTGTTCTCAAAAATTTCATGAAATATTTTAATAATTCAGGAAATCGCTGGCTCACAAACAAGAACGATCTGTTGCTCGTCCAACCGCTGCTCCAGGAGTTGAATTCAACTTGGATGATAATATTACTTACACCAATCAATTGTCTACTGGTCGACGAACTCCAAGCCAGGTAATTGTGTAGTTTTTTTTGCGAAAATTTATTGGAAATTTCCAGAGAAATTCAATTTATTCCCGCCATTTCATCCAATTGCGCCCATCAAGCCCAATTACTGTCGAAGAAGTAAGACGAAAACGTTGAAAAATCATATTTATTAAAAAATTTAGCCATTTGACGACGATAACAATTATTCGACGTGTCCGGCAAGAATTATTCGGAAGCGTCCAACATTCAATCCAAAAGGTAATTATTACAAATGATCAGTTATTGATAGATAACAATTTTCTTTAGATGCATACGAACCATTAAACACGATTTCGGGACATCATGAGCACGAATTGCTTCGACCACGTCATAATAGTATCGGCACAGACACAGAGATTGATTCGGAGCGTCCACGTGAAAAGAAATGTAAAAATTATTCGGATAATTTCCTTTGTCATTTTAAAATATTCAGTGAGTCGCACGATTGTCAGTGGAGCCAAGACATTTGTCATTGCTCCAGAAGAATTGGACGCGATTAATGAAGACTCGAGTTCCTCTTCTCATCATTAGGCTCTTTAATCATTTATTATATCAGAAAAAATTTCATTTATTTTCTCCGGAACTTTGTTTTGCTTTAGAGCTAAATATGAAGATCCTTAATTTATAGTTCCATCTACTCTCTAAAATCTGTATTCTCCCGATGTAATGCATAATAATCAACTGAAATGTTGCTTTTATTTAAGTTCCATATCATTCTTTTCAGCCTTTTGTCCTATACCGATGATCATTTTTAACGGTGTTTTTTCACTTGGTAATTCTTGTTACTGATTTTAATGTTGCTTATATTTCTCGAAGTGGATTCCATAGAATACAAGGCAAAAGTATGTAACTTAACACTTCCCAATTAATTCAGACACTTGAAAATGGAAGACAATGTTGCATTATTTGTTTTGTATTTTCTTATTTGACCTGTGTTATTTTTTTTTACATTTATTTTCCGTTTTTTAATATATGGAACAAACAGCTATTTAACCTTCAAATCGGATAAAAAAACGAAAAAAAAACTCTTGCATCTTAAAACTTTTGTTCTGACTTATCGAAATCACTTGCTAAGAGAAATGATTCATGACAAAATTATAGCTTTTGAGGGGTTTTTTTTCTATCTTCGCCTATCCATATGTTTGCAAAACATTCATTATTAATTAAAAAGTAACTCACGTTTATTTCAATTTGAAATGGCTCATTAATAATTAATTGTTCGTCTACTCTCACCAGAGGCAGCAATTGAGAAAATAAAAAGAAACATTTTTATTAACGATTTGAAAATTGAGAAACAATTCTGTCATAACTCATATAGTAAAAGCAATCTGGGAAATAAAGCAAGTGAGTCAAAACACATACAAAATATTGAAATTAAGTTTATCAAAGTTTAACAAGTCTTTTAAATAATCAGGACTTATTCTCTCATAGTAAATAGTTATATTTAAATGGAAAAATACAAGTAAAATTAGAGATGTTCTATAAGTGGACTGAAAGTTACACCAAATTTAATAAGAGAGACCATTACACGAGCTCAATTCCCTATTATAAACGATTTCAGACTTTGGGTGAAGCAGCGAGTTGTTGTTCATCGAGTAATGGAGCTATTGTAGCAAGCTCTTTCTCCTCGTTGGCGTTGAGTGTGGCTTCAAGGGCTTCTTCCTTCCTAAATTATTATAATAATTGAATTTGAAAAAATATAGATTAGAATAACCTCTTGTTATAATAATACATTCCTCCGCCAACCAATCCCGAGAATAAGAAGCCGGCAAAAACGAGTGGCCAAATTTTGAATCCAATGCCTGATTGCTTTTGTTGCTTCTAAAGTAATTGAAAATCGTATGAAAATTCTGAATTTAATCACTACTACCTCGTTTTTAATAGCAAGAGTTGTTGTTTTACGTCGTGGAGCCTCGGTAACTTTCTGCGCCTTGCTCTTCGAGTCTTCGAAGAACTCTTGATCGGCTCCAACATCTTCATCATTTTCGTCTTCTTCGGATTCTGGGTCGGCGGAGAACAAAGTCTTCTTTGTTGTTTGATCTTCATTTTCATTCGAGTCGCCGCCCTTTTCAGTAACTTTCTTTTCTTTCTTTTCCTTCTTGCTTGATTCACTATGAACAACCTTCTTGGCAACAATTTCAGTTGATTCATCAGATGCGGATGAAGAAGTGGTAGATTCATCTGAAGCATCGGTAGAGCTTGAGTCGGTAGAATCTTCAGTAGAATCATCTGTAGAAGCTTCAGTGGAGTCTTCCGTTGATTTTTCTGTAGATTCTTCAGTCGACTTTTCTGTTGATTCCTCAGTCGACTTTTCAGTTGATTCTTCAGTCGACTTTTCAGTTGATTCTTCTGTTGAAGAAGCTTCAGTAGTAGTTTTAAATTTCTTTGATGGTTTGCTTGGAGCAACGGTGGTTTCCTCGGATTCTTCTGAAGCGGATTTGTTAGATTCAGTGCTATCCGTTTCAGTTGTTTCTTCACTGTTTTCAGTGCTTGTGACTTCAGTCGACGTTGATTCTTGAGTTTCAGCAGATTTAGTCTCATCAGATGCTGGAGTGCTCTCGTGCGATGCTTCAGTACTGTCTTCAGTTTCTTGGCTTGCAGACGCGGTGGTTTCAGTTTCGCTTGATGTAGCTGCAGTAGTAGAAGCATCTTCCGCTGACTCCTCCAGTGTTTCCTCTGAAGGTGCTTCAGTTGTCGTCTTCGATCCAGATTTCTTTTTCGATTTTTCAGTAGTCGTAGCAACAGTGGTGGTTTTCTTCTCAGATTTCTTCGATTTCTTTTCATTCAACTCTGGCTTTGCGGTAGTTGTTTTCTCCGGCTTTTTCTCCTTTTTGGATGGTTTTTTTGTTTTTCCTTCTTTTGGCTCTTCTTCATCATCGTCATTTTCTTCTGGCTCGGGCTTTTTGGTGGTAGCCTTGGATTCTTTTTCCTTTTTCTCCTTTTTGGAAGACTTTGACGATTTTGTTGTCACAGGCTCTTCAGTTGCTTCATCATCATCAATAGATTTTGCTTCTTCATTGATCTTATCTTCATCTTCGTCCTCCTTTTCTTTTTCTTCGGCAACTGAAGCAGCTGTGGTTCTGAACTTTAAAAGTTAAAAAATAACGAAAAAAAATATATATATATTACGTTTTCAAATGACGACGAGCGCGAGAGAGCAAACAATTTTTCTCTTCTTCACAGCAGCAAGCTCCCTAAAAGTATCTTCATGGATTATTGTATTTTTGTAGGATTGTACCAAAACGGTTCCGGAACATGCCGGCATAGAGGAGCATTCTGATGGTGTGAGGCAGTTCTCGAGCAATCCGAGCTAAAATTATATTTAGAACGTGTAACGTTCTAGAAAACTAGACTGCGGAAACGGGATATTAAAAATGAATCAATTGGTAATAGTTGTGTATCATTGGTCCTTCACGCAAACGCCAATAGGACAGGGCACTAGGAAACAAAACATTTTACAAAGTCATTGAAGCGCGAGATTTGCCCGATTACAAAAGGTTCAGGCGTTCACTTATAATTACATGTTTAACTAGTGGCGGATATGGTGTTCCTCAATTGCCTACGGATTAATGCATGTTTACGTGCTCACTAATTAATTCCAATTTGCCACAAACCTTTGACACTTTTCGAAGGCCTGTTTCGCAATGTCGTCGTTTCTGAAAACGAAAATTATTGGTTATAATACCCTTTACGATAAGATTAAATTTAACACATGACGCCCTCGATATATTTTTTGCAAATTTTAAATGTTAAAAAAAATAATTGCAACAAACATGGTCATTGTATCTTCATATATTAGGCGTACTTAGACATTTTTTTTAAAAACTCACCGTTTCGCATGTGACTGCTAAGGCAAGCAACAAAATTATTCTAATAATCCTCATGTTTGAAGTTCCTACCGTCGTTGTCGTCAGCCAACAAAATCAAGCCGGTTTCTATAAACAATGATTGAATAGGGAAGGAAAGCTTATCAACAAAAGAGTATATTCGAAGCAGTTAATGCAACTGATAAGCAAACTGAAAAGGAAGAATGAAAAAAGTACGTTCGCCTCAGGCTAAAAGCTATCGTACTTGATATTTCTCAACAGGTTTGCGAGGGTGGACACACAAGAAAAATGGCATTTGATAACTGTTCCTGACAAACACGATCTGCTCGTAAAAGAAGAACATAAACGAAAGCTCAAATGCCATCCGACACCAGTAGCCTTCTGCCGATAATACCGAAGAGGTTGGCGTCTGGCAAGTTGGCAGAAATAAACACATCCGGCGTAGTTTAACAACATTTGTCTAACTTATTCAAAACTCGCTCTCCGAAAATTGATTAATTAACGGCGGCTGTCATTTTGAAGAAACTATTAATCGACATTATAATAAATAACTGTCAGTGGCAGAGTGTGCAATATAGTATGTGCAAGAACGGCTCATCGATAATTGGCCGAAATACAATTGCTACAAACGAAAAACGATGATGGTGAGCAATTTGGAATGCAGAAGAGCCAATATGTGCTAGTGCGAAATTTGTCGCAAATATTCAATTCAAAGGGTATTCATTTCATAGAAAAGATGCGCATTTCTTTTTCCACATTATAAAGTCAAAGAAACAAAAGCGTAGGTAGGCACTTATTGAGGTATACGGTAATCTTGTGCGTAGCCAGGCAGACAACCAGCAGCAGCTATGTGCGCGCAAAGTGCACACAATATAGGGGCGGCGCGTAGTGCGCCCCGCGTCTACATACACCTTCCCTTACCGTCCAAAGGATATGACCCACATTATAGGCAATGTATTTACTCGCAACATTATTAAACTATGCCCATTTTCCGTGGAACGGGTGTATGAATGTGAGTGTGTCTGTGTGTCTTAGAAATGATTTCACCGGCGACCAACGCCGACTATTGTAATTCCGGCGATATTAACTCCTCCGCAAATACCGGAAAAGTCGCGCCGAGTCCCCCCCCACTTTGTTACTCAAGTAGAGGCGATTAACGGTTTTGAGGTGTTCCGAAAACCGCTGAAAGTGAAAAGCACACATAAAATTATAATCGAACACTCACGATTTTCGTCTTCGGTATTGCCAAATCGAATGTTGAAATGCTTATAACAGAAAGACGTGGATATGAGTTCAAAACCTAAGAATAAAGAAAGCAAATACAACTCCAAAAAATGCATTGGATCAAATTTCAATAATTGGAGATTGAAACTCCTTGGAACACTCGAATTTCTTCATCAGAAACCGCCCAAACTACAACTTTAAGGTTCAGTTTTCTTTGGAAGGTTCAGTTTTCGAATATTTTGGTGTGCAGTGCTAAGTACTTTCTAATCTTGAAACGAATTAACCTGGCAAACAATCTGTCGGTAATGACGCTGTCGTGGGAATATATTATTCATAGCAATACCTCAGAATCGGACAATTAGCAATAATGCTTGCAGAATTGGTAACATTTCACAGAGAAAATTTTATTTCGGGAAAACCATGGAGTGCGTTTGTTTTGTAATCTTCCAGCCGGTTTGGATTTTAACGGCAAATGCAAACATCGTAGAAAGAGTTTTGCAACAAAATGAGGTTGGCAAGACAAATTTACGGGACGGATGTTCTAAGCCAAATTGTATAATTCGACGATTTATTGAATATTCGATGAGAATCTTAAACACGCAAGCCTTTCGTTAATTACACACCGGAAGGAAAATGTGAGATAAGTGGTAGACGAGATGAAAGAGTTGAATTCGATTTCTCGACGTCTATTGGTTTTAACGTCATATTAAGCAAATGCAAAAACTGCAAACCATGAGGCCTTTCTATATTGAATGCTGGAGAGAGGATAATCCAATTCCAGTGGGGCAATAGAAACTGACCCGCTTTCATACATTTGGAACAACCACTTGACAGCCCAATTGAGCTGATTCGGAACCCACCAGGCGGCTCATTAATAAACTCGTTGTCGCATAGAGACATTACATATTCCGAATCCGTTGCATTCAAGAGCACTATCAGCGAAACGAAATTTTACCATGAATAACAATGTTGTGCCAGTATGAAATTAGCATCAGTCAGTTTCTAATTAATCATTTTCATGTTCGCGGAGCAAGCTGGCTTCTTGCGTTCCGTAAGATCAATGAGAAAAATGAAAAATCGTTGACAAAAGCGAGTCCTCTCGAAAAAAAAACAGATGCAGGCAGAAAAAAAGGAAATCTCATAGTTTATAAATTAGTTCAACTAAACCTTGGATAGATATAGAGAAGGATGATGTATAAAACTTTTTATTCATTAATTAATACCAATTATTTGAATTTAGATTTCTTAGATAAAATTTAAAAATTCAATTTTCTTATAGATTAAAAAGGAGGGGATTTCAAAACCTATTAGTTAAAAGATTGCTCCTACTAGAAATCTCAACCTAACCCAAAAAAGTTGTCACTCATATTTTTTTAGAATGTGCTCAGCAATTCGGAAATTACAATCCGCAGATGGTTTTGATATAAACATAACGGCTCAACGGGAGTTCCCAAAAAACTGCCGCTGTTCGTCTGTGAATGATTTTTGTTACGACTAAGTGAATTTTTTCATGTTTGTCCCAAAATGTTCTGCGGATTATCCGATATCAAAAAGTGCCCGCTATTTGTCCAAATCGAATCGCTGAGTGCATTGTAGTGTTTTTTACACATATATTTGAATGGAATATTAATTGTAAGCGTGTGTATAATGGTATATGTTCGTGCCATCCCGTACATTCAATTTAGAAAAATGAATATTTACGTAGTCACAATACTGAAAGTTTGGCACTATAGAGATATGATGTTTTGAGCTTTAAAATAATTCAATGAAAATGTCAAAAATTTGATGATAGGAACAATTTAGAAAATACACTCATTTTTAGAGTTGTTTCGATGGGTCCTTATCAATTTTTCATTTGTCGTGAATCAGATTGGTTTCGCGTCATATTGTAATAGTGGTGATTATTTAGGACGGGAAATGAGCACAACGGGTTAAAACGAGTACTTTTTCCGATTGCGCAAAGTATCTGTTCTTGTTGCAAACTTTCGAGTAACTACTCAAAGATGAACGCAATGAGACCCGAGGCACGCTTGTTGAAAAAAAAGTGCGGCGCATATTCGCGACTTTACCGCTCAACGAAATCGTCCAATCGTTTTTCGAAACACTTGACGGCCTAAAGTCTCGAAACCCAGGGGGTGAGAAGCGTTTCGGAGAGACGAATGGCATACGATCGGGCGAAAAAAAAAAACACCAATCTGTAGCAGGTATCCTGGGCACATTGAAACGAAGTTTCAAGTAGTTATCTCTTGAGTAAGTCAAATATAATTCAAGAAACATCTAGCGAACAAAGATAAATCCAATGGTCTCTGCGAACAACTCTTGTTGAGAAAATGGTGCGATGGGTTTCACAAGAAACCAAATTATATCTGTACTTAAACTGAGTGGCACGCCACTATTTTTAAACATGTTTATTTAAGTTATATACAATTATGCATATCATGTGTTAAAAATTGATTATCAGATGTTGAGGAAGATGCGTTTTGTAGAAAATTAATTAATTATAAGATCATTTGATTGGTTTAAATCCGTTTGTTCACAAAATCGTTGTGCCATGAGGGATATCGAGGATCACTAACTTCGTAAGGCGCGAAACGAGATTGTCCAGTCCACTTCATCATATTGCGTGAGTACCTGAAGAATTGAGATTTGTAAGTTTCCTGAGTAGCATATGAAACAACAACCATTTTGGCCAATCTTGTGGAGCATAACGAGCCAAATATCCTTGTTTCACTTTAGTCCCTGCATGTGGATGAGCGTAGGAAAGCAGATATGGATCATAATGATAAGTTTGTCTCTTAGTTCGCGAAGCTTCAACAGAGGCAATGAATAACACTAAAAAATGTGAAAATAAGAATAGTGAAAGTTGTTAAAGATTGTTAGTGAAATGCAACTGACCTGCAAAAAGTACGCAGACTGATAACTTGGAGACCATTTTTCTAGGTCGACTGGAGACACAACAGCGATCGGTTTATAAAAGACAAAGTGCTTATATCTTCAGCACCTCCTTCTTCAAAGTTTCGATCGTATCGGAAATGAAAAAGCAAGAAATTTATCCCACCCAAAGACAGTTTTTTTGAGAGCGTATGAAGCGCGATGAGAGATATTTAGGGTGAATTGCCACGCCCCAATGATATCCCCACAAGACACGACGATAAGCAACTTAACGACAAAAAAATATTGAGAATGAATAGGAATTGATGCAAAAAAAACGAGATTTTTTAGACTTCGATATGATTTTTTCGATGAAAATAATGAGATAACAAAAATAGTGAAAACAATTATTGCATCACATCTATTAATTATACGTGAAAACAGGTGTACGTGACGCTTCTGCGAAGGAAATCAGTGCAAAGCATTTAGAATGAGTCTCGTAAACAACGTATACATATGTATTTGAAATTTTTAATTTCCGTTACATGAGCACCGTTATGTATTATCATTAAACAACCTTAATATCGAGAAAAAGAGGGAGGAGAAAATTTTAGTCGAATTATTTTGTGGATAAAATTAATTTTGATCATCCATCCGAACATTTCGGTATACATTGTTTCGAGGAGCGTTATTCTGTAGGAAAATTTTTTCAATATTTCATCCGATTGCTGGCAATAATTATACTCGTCTCATAAAAAATGTCTCGAATAGTTATATGTATTTCTCCATCTTCTATGAATTGTGAGAAAAGTGAAACATATTCTAATCTTATAGAATATCCAGTGTATTGTTTGTTTTGTTGTTCAAGAGGATCACTATGCCACCTTGTTCATTCTCATTGTTGCTTAATCAAAAGATAATGTGTAGCGCGGTTTGTTTCCCATTGGGATATGCCGGATAACACAGAACATAAATAATCAAAACATATTATTATCGCACAAAAGGTACAAATTATTGATAAAAATATTTATGAATCATAAATTATTCATAAACAAGTTGCGAGAATTAACAAACTGTGGTTCATAATATCAGCTGTACACTAAAAAAAATAATCTGAATTGAAAAAATAATTTTATGTTTATTTAATATGTTATATTAATATATTTATTCCTGTTTGTTGAATTTCTTTGAAGGTTGCAACCGTTTGACATTTTCCGTTCCTTTTGTTGTCGCTTCTGAACTAAGAGGAGTTATTTATTTGTTAAATGCTTAACTATTTAATATAAAAGAAATTTCCTTTGCGGTTGGCATTGTAGTTTATCTATTTCACTCGAATTTGTTTAAAAGGTTGCCAAATTCGACTAATTTTTGATACTATTTCTCGATTTCCTTTTCGTCGCACAAAAATTTCAAATTAATCTCGTGACGAAAACCAAATAGCGTGTCATCAAACGCGAATTTCGGTGTGGCACGAATGAAAAATGTGCATAATAACAATGCTCATTTTGAACACATCAAAAGTGGAGCCACAAATATATAACCACAAGGACACACTCATAGCTGTGACAACCGATTCTCGCCTCACTGAACGTATAATTTGAAAATTCGAAAATCCGGATACTGAATTGAAGTTCCATTCTGACGAATAATATTCGGCATTTTATTTTATAATAGTTAGCATCCGGCATAGACAGTTTCGTCACTCTATATAAATAATAATAGTTATAATAATTATGTTTGTGTTTCGGCGCACTTCCTGAATCTAGTGAGCCAATTTGAAGCATATTAACTTGTGCTTTGCATACATCGCAAAACATACAAACATTTCAGAATAACCTAATGCACGCTTCTTTGGTTTTCAATAAATTCTACATGCTTCAAAATGAAGAAAACGGTGAGCTCAATTGTTTAATTTTAAATGTAATGTTTCACACGCTTTTTTTACACTCGTGTGGCAAAAAATAAGAGCTGGGTTGTGATGAGAAAGTATGTAATTGCAACGCACAGCAATCCAAATTAATCGAAAACTGAGAAGATAACTGAGAAAAGTAATTGTCTATAATTATGGTGCTCTTCATTCCAAACGCATTGCGATTTTAACGCTTTTTGAGGCAAACCTCCACATTTCCAGCTCAATAACTCAACTACTCAACATTTTTTTTGATTGAAAATTAATCACATTTTTATTTTCAATCCCAGAATTAGTGAAGTCTTTCGACATTAAAAAAATCATACGTCTAATCCGACTTTCATAGCGGAAACTATGCGTTGACCTCATGGGGCAAATTAGTAAACATGATATTGCTTGAAAATGTGAATATTCAACACTTAAACTTTGTTGCATTCTCCTGTTTGTATTTTTCAAAAAAAAAAAGTATTTTGGCTTAATAACTAATCGTATTTGGATAGATAAACCCTCATCAGATTTTTGAGGGGTTTTGTCGCTGTGAGAGATCGATATCCCTCAAGGCCGTTTCGTCCAATAGCCAGTAATGTCGTTTCGTTCACCTTGCCTCTGCGTTACTGTTGGCTGCGCAAACCGCGCCGTATTCAAATTTCTTCTTCACCATTATCGATCCAACAGTCGTGTTCGACCCGTTTAATTGAATGACCGGTCTTCCACGTACCAACCACACCACTTCACGTTAATTAAAAGAGTAATACCGAGCAGCGTGCTCTCACCTAATCCAGTAGGGCTCCCATGACAACTAAGAACCCCTTGTTATAATGGGCGTCTGCGTTAATTGGTTGCCGTTTTCCATACCAAACAGCACGTTTATTCTTTGTTTGTAAATCGTTTCAAAATGAAGAGTATTGTAGATTCTCCAGTAAATACGGAATTTTCCTTTTCCATTATATTTACTAGTTTTTAAAGTGTTTTTTGCAAACTAATAAACACTGATTTTGACATTTTATTGCAAAGTTTTTGAGGAAGTAAAAAAACAAACAAAAACACTCAGAAGAACTCAGCAGAAATACTCAGGTGCTTTTCTTACGGTATTTGACATTTCAACATAGTGTATTAATATAATTTATTAATTTTTGTAGCACATATATTGTTGTTTCTGATTGAGTGTTATTCACGACAGAATGGCACCGAGAACAATACACATTCTTTCAACCACTTCATTAATAAATTGTTAGTCAATTTGTTTCAAGGGTTGATTTATCAAAAGGGCACCCAAATAGATAGTTTTGAAATGTGTGTTTTCATCCTCTTGCGAACTCCTTGTCGCATTTCGAATTCACTCTCACTTTCATAACACATTTCCTCAGACAATACCTAATTACAGTAATTCGTCCGTAATGATGACCTAAATACATGTTTTATGTTGATGAAACATTTGAGAATTTTTGTGAAAACATTCAAAATTATTTACTTTCACAATGTTAGTTTCGATTTGCGAAATGTTTTCGGTTTTGAGAAAAAAGGATTTTCGAAATAGGTTAGCTAAGGGATTTCACGGATTTATAAGCAGATACATATTGTTTCGGTACCGCTATTTCAATTTTCCGGTGAATTGAACACATCTCATGGGACCTGAGAAGAAAAGTGCATTTAAAGATACCCGTAAAAGATAATCCAAAGCTCTCTTTGATGATTTCAAAAGCTCATTCTCATTATCGCAACATATCAAATAAAACGTGTTTTCATAGAAAAGATGTGATTTGGCTAATCGTGTGAATTACAATTCAAACTGTCATTAAATCTTTATTTCCTTGTGAACAGCATTTCATTTATTTGTTTCAGGCGAAATGTCGGATCAAAAGACGACAAACACTCAAACGATTGTAATTATATCGTCCTTAATACTGCTAATCGTCGCACTTGGATTACAAGCTGGAGGGGTTATTTCGCCTAGTTGGCAAGTTGTAGATATTCGCGAGTTCCGTGCTACTCATTTTGTAAGCGTTCTCCAAAACATTTCTTACGAGAAAAAAATCCAAATTCATTTCAGCACGGGTTATGGCTTGACTGCACTCGACCGCAGCTTCACTTGTTATCAAAAAGCCAACGAGTGGACGATTTACCATTGCATTGCACATATAAGTTTGATTACTCTGCTAGCGAAGTAAAACACAATTTTTTACTTAAAGAACTTCACATTTTTTAGATTATTGACGAAAACATTCAAGATATTGATCAAAATAGCGCTGCTGGAGAGAGCGAGCATCATCAATTCTATGGTAAGCATTCATCAAGTCTATCACGTTTCACCATAAATCTGAAAACCGAGATGTGGGCGTAGCAATGTCATAGTGTTCAGATCAAAAAATACTTGATCGAGATGTTTTTAGGATGGCACAAATTCACCCTTGGATTTATGTTAACTGCGCTGGTTTTGGCTTGTGTCTCTTTGCTTTGCGGAATATGCGCTCCGTGCAACTCTGCTTTAGCTGTTATCTACGCAATTCTTGTAGCCTTGACAGGTAAGGTGATAATTGCAAATGTTATGAAATGAGTTTGATTACAGTCTTCACTTCAATCTGTGGCGATGCAATTTTCTTTTTTGCTGCTCATAGAGTTGACAGCCGTTTCGTTCAGGGACTAGTCGGAACTTATGAAGTATTGCAAAATTAAATCAATCTGAAAGTATGTACTTGTTTTCAGCAAATGATTGGAATGGCTTTCTACCTTCACATCCTGGGAACACTGATCTCTTTCCTCGCTTTTATCATGGCTGCAATTTCTGCCTATCAATTGTTGCAAAATAGCGAAAACGAACGGACAATGCCGATGCGTGAACTAGCTCCACTTCATGAAGCTCGATTTGCCAGAGTTTAAAATTTGATCATCAAAAATCTCAATATTAAGTTAAAAATATCAATTACATATTAAGCCATGATCACGTGATCGTGTCATTTCTTTATGCAAGAATATTCCAACTCCAAAAAAACCTCAAAAATTAAAGAAAAAAAGTAAAAAAGACAACTTCATGACGTTTTTACTCATTATTTTGTTGATTTCATAATTTGAAATAATATGATTTTTGTAAAATTTTTGCGATATCCGAATTTGGAATTTTGAATAACTTTATTTGTCTTACTTATTATATTATTTATGATCGATCATTTGATCAAAATAACGGCCGGTGAATATGCAAATGTCTCGATGAACGTTTTGACGAATTCGGAGACCCCCCCCCCCTCTAACATTTCGAAGCAAATGTTACCTACATATTTAATTAGACAGTCTGTAATATTGTTCTTGTTTTGTATTTTTTTTTATACTGTTGGACTATACGGTTCATTATAATTGTGAATCAAATCCAATCAAAGCTCTTTATTAACTAATATTGTATATTGTACCTTGGTCACAAAGCTAAATGAAATAAACATCTGAAAAATAAAATGATTAACCATACAAAGTGTTGAATATGGCTAAATACAAAGAAATCGGGGCAATAGTGGTGTTTGGAAATGTTGTATTTTTGGTGGAAAAGCATCAATTGGGAATGCGTTAGAATCGACAATGTTGTGACTTATGAATGTTTAAAAAGCACCGGAGAATAAGGGATACCAAAGCGGAATCGGCGAAAATTTATCTGTTTATTTTCTACGGGTCATCATCTCGCAGAATTCTAAATTTCTCTCATTAGTTTCCAGTCGCCGTTCTAGTTTTACCTTGGAAGTTGATTTTTCCATCATTGTTTTGATCGACATGTTTGTAGATTGCCTTAATGTCCTGGTCGCTCAAACTATGACCCATTCTTTGGAACGCGGTACGCAATTCCGATCTTTAACATTTTATCAAAGATTTCACTATTGTTGCATTGTTACCTTGTGATATAACCGTCTCCATCAACATCAAGTTCATCGAAAACAGCTTTGAGAGAAAGAGATAGAGGGTTTTGACGTGCGATAATGAGGAATTCTAAAGAAAATCGAAACAAACATGAACCGACACTCTCGGGTCAGCTATCAAGTCAGCAACTGCATATGGAAAGACATTGAATTTCAAAGTTTTTCAATTTACCGGCATTGTAGTTTGTTATTATTTAAAATTGTTACTATATTTCATCTAGCTATCAATTTAAGATAATTACCCTCAAAATCGATGTTGCCATCATTATCGCGATCAGCTGCTTCAAACATTGCGCTTAGCTCATCATCAGTAGGCGATTGCCCCATTTTTTGCATAACATGACGGAGTTCATCCTGAAAATTAATATAATTTATAATAATGTTTAGGATTGCCTACTCTTTGTATGAACCCATCTCCGTTTAGGTCGAACTCTCTAAAGATCCCCTTGAGGTCATCCTCACGGATTTCTCCGAACTCAACCTGAAATAAATGCCTAAAATTTTTAATTAGTTTTTGTTTATCATCATACAATCGTCTCTTTTCTATTGGTAATTTCAACAAAGGTTATACTGGTTTTACCGATTTCAACACACTCAATTTTAGGTTTTTGCAGTGAAAGTGACTAGTCACAAAATCGACTTTACTTTTTTTACCTCATAAATCTGTGACGACCGAATTGGTAATTGTAGGGTAGGGAAAGCATGTCTTCTAACGGGGATTTTTTAAATAAAAAAGTAGTTATAAAATATCACTGTCGTGAGGTTATGAAACCCTTTCAAATTACAGGATTCGAACAAAACTAGTTATTACAAATGATCGCATTTGTGTATACTGGTGAATAATGGATTGTCAGACTTTTCACTATTTCCAAAATGATAGTCAAAGAATCAAGATCAAAAAGTGATTGATGTGTTTTTGTTATCCAACAAGCGAAACAGTCTACTCGATAACAAAAAAATCACTTCTGTTTCGTGAATTTTTTGCCTCCGACGAATGTTTTGAAAATGACGAACGATCTAAAACAAAATCAGAGAAATTTTGATGACGACGTGTTTGACAACATGGGTTTTCAAGGGTAAGAATTAACTGCCGTTGAAATTTCGACTATCTCCTACCACGAAATTCAACGCAGATGACCTTGAATAGTAAAAAAAAAATGCGTAATTGAAACTGGATTTAATTCCCATCGACAATCAAATTATAATTGCAATACGTGACAATTTAGGTGTGCTATTCTTTTTCGTAAACTGATTTTTATTTTAAATACAATAAAACGATGAATTGAATATATATATATATATATATATATCCCTTCTATGAAAATAAATTGAATGTTGATAATAAAAACGATAACGAGAATCATCGAGAATTTTGTGTTGTCATTTCTTCTTTGCGAGAAAGTGTGTTGTAAATGGAAAGCTAATAAATGAGTCAAAGTAAACAATAAGTGCTATCTTGAAGAATCAAAATTGAGTAGATTGAAACAATGAGCATTTTACGTATGATAGCCGACGTACCTGAGTTTTCTTCTTCTTGGCAGAACAACACGCACCCATGTTTGTTCGGCAATAATACAGACAGCGACCGTGTCACTCTCGTCTACACCCTCTTCGCTTTCGTTTTTTAGGCACCCTGTCCCTCGGTGGTATAGCGCGAGTCGTCGACGTCTATGTTTGAATCGGGGGAAGAATCGAAGCAAGAATGAGAAATGCGGGCGGCGCGACGAGAAAACGAGAAACAACGTCGACAGCGACGATGATGTCGATCAACTTGCTACCGCCCCGAAGGACCGCCAGGGTTTGTCAGAGACTAGGTGTCATCGGTCCGCCCTTGACAAGAACCTAAAATCACCAATGCAAATTAATATGAATATCGTACCTTATCATATTTTAGAGAGCACCTAACGCATGTAAGACAGTTAATCGTAAATGATAACGTTGTAAAAAAAAGTCCGGAATATAATTCTACGATGACAAAACTGGCACTATTAGAAAAATCAATAATTACAGATATTAATAATAAGTTGGCTAGTTGATAGCACTTCTTGATTCAATGCAAATTTATGCGATTTCATTGCAGAATATTCAATCACATTAAACAAGCACGCGCCACTTATCATATGAGTGAATCGATAACGTTGCAAATTGTAATATCCAAAATTTTTAGCTGAAAATAATTTTGGTTTTTTCTGTGGTAGAATTTCGGTAGAAAAAAATAATCTGGAAGAAGGATTAGTGATCTTTTCGAGTGAATCTAACAAGAAATTAAAGGTCACAGGATGGTCAAATTGCCTTTTGAGAGAAGATTAATATCTTACAATTTAACTTTAACTGCACGCCGCCATGATATTTTATTATAGTCTGATAGAATTATTATATACATAGAAAATACAATATTTTCTCTGAATATGAAACTAATATTTAAGTTTTTGGCAAATTACACGTCTATCCAAGAAAAGCAAAAAAAACAAGTTTCTAATAACCTATAACAACAAATTGTTGGCATTTTTCGGTTTTTTATTACGAAACAGAATTTGTTATTTTCCACGCACCAAGCGTTTCGCTTTGAATTTTTCAAATTTCCTTTTTACTTCATTAGTAGAAATATTTTTCTGTGACCACTTGCATTCAATTTCCAGATATCATTGATAATGAAACCATCTAAGTTGTTTTCCTGTTTCTCTTAATTCTCCATAGTCTTTCACATAAGAAAAAACCCGAAAACCAGTGAGAACAAACGATAGATCATCCAATAATTGACAAGTTTTCGTCGATTGATAGTCTCACATTACTGTTAAAAAAAATACACACTAATTCGCCGAAAAATAATTATCATTAGTTCCGTGGCTGAAACGTACAACAAAACACGCGATTGAAAGTGAATTACGAGCCATACTGATATATACAGTTATAAAGATCATCAAGAATCCATATATCATATAGTGCATCAATATTGATGTCAGGGTCTTTTTGTTGATGTTTGACAAATGTAAATATACCTGGATCGATGTTTTCTAACTAAATTTTTTGTGACTAAAGCACACATCAAAAAGCAAATATCATTTATTTTCTCGCCTTTTTGTTATTGATTGCCTTCATTTCCGAGTACACTCGAAAATAAAAATAAATATTAGGCTACTTTAAATACTATTTGAAATTGAAAGTTTTGTGGAATACTATATAGCATAACATCGTTAAATAATGTACTAGTGAAAATATACAGAATTTTAGTCCAGCAACGATTTTTAGCACATGTTTTACTATCGTCAACATTTTTCACAACATTTTTGTTATTCTGTGAAAATGAAATTTTCTCAAAGCTACACAAAACACTTTTGTTAATATGCGTGGAAAATTGAAATCAAATCAATGACGCCAACATAAAAACTGTATTGATGCAGAAAATTTTTAAAAAAAAATTTTGGAAATGTGTTTCAAAAGCATAATTAAATCGTGTAATTTTCATTGGCTCCACTTTCATTGAGACAGCGAACAATTAAAACTATTTTAAAAACATAGAATAAAAAAGGTTGAATAGTTTAATAATTGAAGCTTGTGAGTATCGTGAATATAAACAAGTATTGTCTTACGCGTATTGCAAATTTCGAAATAAGTATGCAAAAATAAACTTTCAAGTTATTTTCAATATGCGAACAACACGGGACAACTCTTTGAAATGAATTCTTGAATATCATGTGTCTTATTTTTTCCCTCGGTGTGTTTGCTCATGTGGGTTCTTTCTATATTTTTCATTACAACAGTTAATAGTATACACATATAATTATTTAATTTAGAATTTACTTTTTTTTGTACGCCGTTCATCTGATTCATAAAATATTTTAATTTCCGGAATTTTTTTGTCTCATTGATGTTTTTCTCATTCATGATTTATTTCAACATAAACATAACGGAAAAAATGATGTTAGTATGTTGATGACATTCCGGTATATGTTGTAGACGATGAAGAACTCCAATAGGAATTGGTCTGAAATTACAAAACATATTTTGTTACAAAAAAAAAATTTTGCTATGTTGTTTACCGCTGGTGCGTTCATCAACTGACTGCTGTTCGTCGATGTTTCCGCCACTATCTGCGGGTACGTTGGAACTGGATGTTGAATTCTTGTCATCGTTACTGCAACGGTGTTTATTCGAAATTTCCACAATCATTGCTATTAATTCGTACAACACAATTCGTTAAAAACGATTTGGTAGTTTTTTTTTGTAGTGGGATTACATGCAAATTAAAAAAAAAACAAACAAGGCAATTGTTTTGTAGGCAACTTACAAGCAGAATAAGGGGTTAATGATTGCATAGCTGATGCCAGATCCCCATTACTTCCTCCAGGAATCATGGCGTTTTGACATGCTTGTGCGAGGCCTTGGAAATCGAATTTATAAGCATACCGTTTTCCTTGGACCTAAGATGTGCAATTTCAGAAGACGCTTTTTTCCCAGAGCAGAGAAATACCTTAGTCATTATATTTTTATCGTAGTAATACCGTAGGGCTCGACTAAGCTTATCATAATTCATATTTGGCTTACTGAAAAGAACATATATATTCGTGGAAAATATTCTAAGATTATCTACCTCTTTCGCTCTCCCCATTTCCGGGCAACCTCATCAGGGTCAACCAGCTTGAATTCCCCGTTACTTCCTTCCCATGCAATACAGTGTGCATTGACAGCATCGGCGAGGAGTTCCAACAGAAACTGCCATAATTGGATTTGTCCACTTCCTGGAAACAAGTTTTTGTAAAAATGCACCACGCAATCTTTTTAGACAAAAAACACAAACATAATGAATCAAAACATTACGTGCCATGTGCGGGAAGACGCGATAAAACTGACGCATACTGCATACATCCTGAAAAAAAACCAAATTCTGTTGAAATCGATTTCGGAATATTCAAGTAATCCGACTAATGTTAATGTGAATATTTATTAATTTCAAGAAGGATAGAATTTATTTCGAGTGTTTCTAAGCGATCAACAATCGATGGCGTCATTCAGATTAAAATCTACTAACAGTTTTGTCGATTTCACTGTTTAACAGAACGCATAATATGTGCCGATGTTTAAGGTCGCAATGAAAATGCAATAAACATAAACTTCTTTCGAATTTTCCTTCAACCTTTCCCTCAATTTTCGAAAATCCTTTAAATACTCGAGCAAAATGTTAGTCAGCCAAGTTGCTTTTCATACCACCTTCTCAGCAGGACTCCATGGCCATTCATGTTCAAAGGAATAACTGCTTCATGCCTGAATTGCCATCTTACACATCATTTAGCAATATGTCTTATTTCCCACACAACGTACGATTTTCCACGTTGGATTCTAAAACCGATAAACATACGAGTTAACCTAGATGTACAAATAAGAGCATCATTTGCATGCAAGGGCAAGATTGAGTACGAACAAGACGACTTATGGGAAAGTAATATTTTATCCCGGCGGACTCTGCGATTTGCATTTCTTGATGAAATAATATACTTTGAGCTTTTTTGTCTTCTCTGGATGACAGAAATCTTGAGCAATGAGAAACAAACCGAAAGAAAAAAAGAAACTCAAAATATGTGTGTTTAATACAGGAATTACCTTCTGTCAGGCGTGAGTTATCATTGTTGCTGACGAGAGATGTGTCCCATTGTGGTGGACAAAGATTACCATACGTGTCTGAAAATTAAACATTTCATTTAAATGAGAAACAAAAACAAGGCATCAACTAACGCATTTGTTGCTGGCGAAGTAATATTTTAACAACACGAGGAAAACCGTATTGAACGCAAAGTTTAAAAAAATCGCCAACTCTTGATCACATCTGTTTGTTTGATAATATTTTTAATATCGCATTCCTGACCGAAGCATCATTTTGTTAAAATGCTTTTTTCTGTTGTTTTAGTTCAATTTTATTGTAAAAAGCATTATAAAATTGAAAGTTTTTTTAGAATGAAAGACATCAATCTTGGTACGCTATAAATCGATTTACAACCGATATTCCTTAAAATATCAAAGTTTTCAAAATAAATATACAGACATTTATTTATTGAAAAAAAAAACCATTTGTTTAAATTTCTCAATTTGAATTAAAAATAAAAAATTTCAAACTTCCCATAAAACTTTTCACTTTCTTTTCTTATATCTCCGCAATATATTATGTTTAAAAATTATATGCTGTTAGAATGGTGCAACGCAGTTCAATTAAAGATGTCGTATTCCATTTTATTGAATCCGATTATAGAAATGCGCCAAAACGAAAATCGCCAATAAATACCGATAATAGAAAAAGACAGTGCTTAATAAATTTAGACTCAATCAAATAACTTTGGCACTTTTTTTCAATTCAATTTTAGGGTTTAATATATGGAGTTTATTTACCATCGCAAAATTTTGGACCGTCACATCAAATTTTTGTAGAAATATGGTCGAATCTCAGGAAACGGTGTCGAAAAATTAAGACACCAAAAACGTAAATACGTTGGGAAAAAAAGAAAGAATGCTAGAATTGAAATAGTTTCCGGAGATCGGCTTTCTAAGGGTGTCTTGGTTGTAGAAGAAGCCCAGCATTCGACCAGGAAATAAGGTGCGGAAGCGCCTGTTTCCGTTCTTTTGTGCACCGACCTCGCACAGCTTCGACAACATTCAAATAACAATAATCATTTTCTAGAGTCGAGCTCGGCAAAAGCTCAATCGATTTTCAGTATTCAACTCATAAATTAAAAGTAAAACTCACTTAAAGTCGTGGGATACATGTTAGCATGAATTGATGATGTGGCTGCTGTCGCTTGTTGGTGCGCAGTGCCTTCAGCGGGAAGGCGGGCTCAGCGAGAGCCACTTAGCATTTAGCTCGCCTACGGTAGGTGGCATAGCAACGTCAAACGGGTACGCCGCGTTTCCGGACAAATTTCCGGAATGATAATGGAAATTTGCTTGGAATTCATTAATTGGATGTTTGCTATATTCGTGTTTCATTTGAAAATCAATGTTATAACGCGTAATTTAGATAAAATTTTCGCCGGATATGTTAGTCAGAAAAGCTTCTGATGAAATGTCTTAAACACGTACTTCGTCTAAACTATGATAATCATAGGTGAATGTTTTTCGAATTGATTATGATGAGAATGCCGAAAATGTTGCAAAACGATCGAATAATCAAGTTTTTCAGTACCTGAGGAGAGTTCAAAAGGAAAGATGCTCCATATGGAGCAACATTTTTTTGCCTCCGGAAGGAGGAGTGTTCCCTTTCGATTAAGAATGGCTAGGGAAACTCTCTCTCTAATTTTGTCCGGAATGCGCGCTATATATTTTTCAAACGTATTTATTTTATATTAATAAAAAAAAATATTATTATGCAATCCCAATATTCATAATGATGCAAAATATCCCATGTTTTAAATGTCTATTTGGAAGAAAAAATTATTTATGTTGTGCAGTAGACTGTAATTGTGTATTAATAATTTACATATTTCAAACAGTAAATACCAACTTTTAGTATTGTTATCTCAAATTTATAAATAGTGCCTTATGTCCTAAGTGTCTCTAATAGAGGGAACTTCCATGACTGTTTAAATTTTCGTGAAAAAGAAATGGAAATAAATGAGTTACGTATGTTCTGTTTTCAGTTTTTAACCAGTTTTTTGCACCTAACTAGATACGAGCTTGATTAAACTCAAACTCGTATTTATTAACTCCAAGTCGATATGCAATTTCAAGGTATCAACAAATTTATTGTTAAAATGCAGCCAGTTCAAGATGCAATATAAAGCTTTGAATAAATTAGATGCGACCTTCGATCGTTTCGAAGCGTATGTTTCACTTGGTTTGACACATTAAATAGTTTGCCTAATGTATAAAGGCTACACAGAAATGCTACCTTATAAGATTGAAGCGAGGTAGATTTGTTTTCAAATTTTTTATTATTTTTATTGTTGTGTTTTAATAATTTGGCCTCCAATAAATTCTAAAGATAAATAGTACAAAATAGACTATTTGAATTTGAAAAAATGATAGAATGCGGAATTTAAGAAAGAATGAAAGAATGCAGAATTTCAAAATATTTAATTTACGTACGATGATTTAAAAATAGAAACAGGAAATGATCAATTTTTTTGAAATACAATTTTTAAAAATTTTTTATTATCAAAAATGTGTAGGCGTTTTGGAAATAATGATCAGCTACGCATTGCATTTTTAGTTTAATTATATTGCTTTAACAGACGCTGACATATTTGCGAATCGCAGGCGAACTTTGAATTTGTGATTGTAGCCCCATAAATTCTCGAATGTATTGTCACTTTCATCTCGGATTCCGCACTTTTTTTTTATTCATTATTTGTTCGAAATGAGCATGTCCGCATTTTTTTGTCGATTTGTTGAAAATATACACAGCTGCAAAATTACGAATTAACACAAAATAATAGACAAAGTGTTGCTTAGCCAGTTTTTTGTTTTCTCAATTTTTGTTTCCAAGTAATTTGAAATAGGAATCAAGATTATTTATTCAGAAACATGCTTATCTGGCAAAAACCGTATCCAACGTTTTAGCCATATCGGTTTTATTGGCGAATAATTTATAAACACCTACCAGCGTATTTTTAGTTTTAAATCTTAATATTTTATATGACAGCTTTCAATTGCAAAACATAGAATCAGACTACTTGGATACTAATCTATTGAACACAGTTGTACAACTTTACGGAAGTATACACATTCTACTTAAGTTTGTGCATTTATTAAAAAAATTGTTGAATTTTATGTTATAAAATCAATTGCTTCCGTCTCTTCAAAATTTGAAAACTTTGTGTTGTCCCGGTCGATAAATATTTAATTAGAAATCCATGACTTTATGAATTGAAATTTACTACAAATACATCTTGTAATACAATTTTGATTGGGTTTTAAAATCGTCTTCTTCAGTTCTTTTTTCTAAAACCATTTGTTTGTTGAAATAATTATTAATATATCGTATTTACCTTCCAAAAAAACAACCTGGCCTGCACTTTGTGTTTTCTTCCGCACGTAGTGCAAATCAGCAACTTTGAAAATGAGATGAAGGAAAAACTTTAAGTTAAAATGAATAAAGAAAATATTTATCTCCTTAAAATTAAAATAAAATTTCTATTTACAGTATTTTGAAATTAAATAGTGATCAAAGTTGAAGTAATATTATTGTTTTCTCATTATATTCATTATATTCTTTCCATCGTGAATTTTATTCCGCTTTGACTTTTTCATAACTTGCCGAGGAATTTATGTATTTGTTGAAACTAGTTGTTCATGTTTGTCATATGCCCAAGAGAGAAAAAAAAACGAGATTAGTTTCATTTTGGACATTCGTTTTCGTTGCATGTCTACTTTTCGCGGAATAAAATGCGACGTGCGACTCAGCTGTTGAAGCACAAATTCGAATGAAGCTGCATTGACGCTTTTCATGCGTTTGCGCAAATATCGAGACCGCATTTTATTTTTGTGTGCTGCATTTTCTTTTCTAGTTAAGTTTAGTTTTATAATGCATATTTATGAAAAATTAAGATATGAATTTCAATTTTCTTTCAGAAATGCAATATAATTCTTTAATATGGTTTGGTTATCCGTCAAAATTTATAAAAATGGGTAATTTTATTTCATATCATGGTTTTAAGGCACTTACATTTTAGTTCGACGCTAAAATTGGCAAAATGGATTCCGCAGAAATCAGCAATAAGCCTACATCAGCAATCATGCTTTGGAGGAGACCAAGAAAGGTTCAAATTAATATGTTTTTTTTTTCATAACCATTAACATCGAAATTAACAATTTGTGAACCCTAGTCTAAGGAAATCTTATCTGATAACAACAGGTTTAGTCGTTTTTGCCGGAGGTTACATCAGCCAGAAATGATGAAAACGCGTTTTCTCACACCATTCAATGATGGATTTGAAATTTTGCAGAGAACGATCAATTTTTACAATAAAATGTTTCCTGTAAAATTGTTTTCGTTTTTTTTTAATGCATAATAGGCTTACAATTTATATGCCCATCTTTATTTATTTTATTTATTTTCGATTAAAAAGCCGGAAACAGGAAATATTTATTTTTTCGTTAAAACCATTCGGAAATATGAAGTACGCAATGTGCTGATAGATGTTTGCGTACAGGCTTTGTTTTTTTCTAGCACTCGTGATCTAGCCGATCACATCCCTATTTCATTATTCTGTTTGAAGTTTCCATTCAATAATGAACATCAAAAATTGAAGAATTCGAAAAACGCATTTCTAGTGATCCCATCTGTCATTTAACATTGCCAAATTGTTGATACGTACACCGATAGTTGCTCAACATTGCATGTTGTGTGTTTTCTATGTTTTCCACCTATTTTATCTGTGTACAATAGTTTTGCGATTAGCGAGGTATGAATTTCCGGCGTGTCATCAAGATTACACCGTCGTAAATCATGCTCGTATCATTGTTCGGATAATTCTAACGAATAAGTAACATTCGCCACATCTGCAATGATAAGAGTAGGTCACGCAGGCTATTGGAACGACTAGAGTGCAATAGCCGAACGGATGCCGCAAGAGGTAGCAGAGAGCGGAGGATGTTGCAAGCATGCATCGTCGATAACCAATGTGTTTTGAAGTGAACCAATCAGTCTGTGGCTCACCTTTTTTTGTTAACATTTTTTGCGTTCATTTTTTTTAGCTTACGCCGGCTGTTTGCTTTATTTAACTCGGTTGTCTGACCGCGTTTCTTTCTTTGAAATGTTTGGATGTTTAATAACAGATGTTCAACAAATAATGAGAATTTCGTTTACAAGCTTATTAGCCCCTAAACACTCAAAAAGACATCAATCAAAGTGGTTTCTTCTGCAGCCAACCAAGAAACATTGAAGATTTTAATGCTTACTTAAACTTTTATGTCTCCGAAATTGATAAGATGGGTCTTCACAAATGTTGAAGTCACTTCATTGTAGTCTTCAATTTTAATAGGATTTGTTTAATTTTAATAACGTTATCAAATTAAGTTTGTTGGTGATATGTGATCAGTTTATGTTCAATTAATGCCCTCGATTGCTCTCGATTACCAAACATCAGTGTTTAAAAAAGGTAGTGGACAAGCGGATTTCATCGGCCTTTGAATGTGTGAAAACCTTGAATTCTATTAGGTCATGTCGTTATTTGTTCATCTTGATAAACGAGCAGTATGGCGGCGATTTGTCCTGTATCTCCATGACACTCAATTTTTCTTTCTTTCATTTCTATCTCATTGTTTTCTCTCACATACTGGGAGGTTTATATTAGCGTGTTTTTGATGAAAACAAGTAGAAAATACTACAGATGTCAAACGACCTGGGCGAGATCGTTCGAAATGCGACGTTCATCAAACGCATTTTTTTCGACATTGGTAAGTTAATCATTTATGAAACTATTCATGAAATTTAAAAATGAACTCAGGATCAAAAACTATCAAAATTGCTTATATTTCTACGATGCCTACATACAAAACGACCAGGAACAAAAATGTTTGTTTAACTGGGAAAAATCTTGATCGCCTTCACTGCATTCAAGTGAACTATGAGAATTTTTCTGAAGTCCTTGACTTTCTTGCCGAAGTATTTTGAATACTCGAAATTATTCAATTAATATCTTATTTTCAGAATGCTCCATTGGCCGGAAAACCAGCGTATTATGCGTTCACGTCACGTGTCGTTGCAGTTGAAGATCTGATAAAAGAAAAACTTAAAGTCGAGTAGGTCTTTGTTTTTATATATGGTGGTAATTGATCAAATAAAGAGATTGCAAATTTTTATAATGAGAATCATTGGCGACAAATTAGATAAATTGAAGTTTTTTTTTTCTCGAATTGCATTTGAGATTAGTGATTTCTGATATAGTCGAGATTTCCTTCATCAAACACACATATTATACCCTATTTCAAACTTTTGACAAAATTGAAAGCAACGAGAAGAACATATTTTCTTTAGAAGAATGGCGAATTGTTTTGGAATATTTGAATTTTAAAATCTCGTCAATTTTGTATTAATGCATAATTGGCAAGAATTAAAAGATAAAATAACTTTCATTTTAGATTTATCACAAAATTTCGATTGGAATATTATTTATGGTTTAACACGCCGCATATATTTTCAAAAAAATCCACAACTATATGACGCAGAAAATTATTTATGTGTGCTCAGTGCATTTATCGAAATAACATCAATAAAATACTGAATGTACAATTTACCGGTAGAACGTTCCGCTAGCAGTCAAAGAATGATGCACGTAAACAAATGACCACATATTTAAATTGATGCAAATATTTTCGATGCGAAATTTGGCTGACAATCGCAATTCTTGATCAAAAGCTCACAAATTATATGTGTTTGAGAGCGCATTGTGGAAGAAATGTTTGAAATAATCAAAAACACATATGTAATTTCAGATTAATTTGCACTGATGTCTTTGAATGTATTGTTAAAGGAACAAGTTTTCTTCTAAAAAATATTGAGGCGGAAGCTTATACGTATTCCTTCAAGCAGGACAAAGAGTATGAATTCAAAACATTCCATGAGTTATCCATTTATCCATATATCATTGTCAATATTCGAACGGGTGTTTCAATTATGCGAGTAAGAATGATTCTAACAAGAAATTTCTGAGTGACAATTATAATATATAGGTTAACGGACCGAATTGCTTCAAAAGAATTGGAGGAAGCTCTATTGGAGGTGGAAGCTTCTTAGGACTTGCTTCTCTTCTCACCGGAGAAGAAAGTAATAATTTAGAATTTTGCGGAAAAACTCAAACACTAATTTAGATCTTGAAAAGTTGATGGAAATGGCCGAGTTGGGTGACGCTTCAGAGTATGACAAGCTTATCAGTGATGTTTATGGAGACAAAGTGAACAATCTTGGGCTTCCGGGGCACCTCCTTGCTGCGTCGTTCGCCAAAGCCGCATCTGTTCAACCGGAACCTATTGAAAATATGACCGATGAATCGAAAGCCAACGCTGCAAGCAGTTTGTTGAGAATGATTACTTACAACGTTGCTCAGGTGATTAATTGAAGCATCCAAAAATGATCTAAATTGTTTTACATTGAAGATGGCGTTTCTTTATGCCGAAAAGGAAAAGGTGGATCGTGTTTTCTTTAATGGATTTTTAGTTCGAAACAGACCTATCGTCATGAAAACTCTATCATATTCTTTTAATTATTGGTCGTCGGTAATGACTTTTTATGAATTTTTCAAATATTCACTAATCTCAGGGAAAACTACGCGCATTCTTCCTTCGTCATGAGAATTACACTTCGGTCATCGGAGCCTTCCTCACTAGCGTTTCTTTGTCCAACGAAAAACGCATTCGAGAAAGAGAATTTCTTTACTGGAAAGAGCATTACAGCGGCTCGACAGCTCTTGGACGATTCGTTCCAACAGGCCCTCTTACAGCAGGATTCAACGCACAGACTTTTGAAATGGATTGCGCCGAATTTCAAGTTGCCCCATTTGTGCTCATTGACAATCCGGACTACATTCCTGACACTATTGATTTCAACAAAGACGTAGAAGCACGCGACTTCTGGCTAAACGTGATGTCTGAGAATATACAAGAGGTAGATCAGTTTTTAATAATAACATATTAATTTATGTTATCTTGCTCTCAGATTAGCAGAATCGCTTTTGACTCGCAAGTCAACTTCGAAAACCGTCAAGATCTTATTGATCGTGTTGAAGGATACGAGATTATATTTAAAAATATGCTTGACACTATTCGTGAGCATCCATTGTAAGCAGTAAAAGATTCACTGGAAAAAAAAACTGAATTGTTTTAGTGCATATGGTAATGCTAATGCTCGCAATATTCTTGAATTCCGAGAGCAAATTTTGAGAGAATATGGATTTGATGATATCTACCTTCTGGTAACATTTTTAATGCTTATCGTTCCTTTATTAAAATAATGGTAACTTATAGAGAAAACATGACGAGAATAATTTTGCCGCAACGCAGCTTCGCTTTTTGAACCGTGTTATTGATCAAATGCGCAAGGTAGTATATAAAATTAGTTAATTATTCAATGTACATTACATTTAGATAAAGCCAAAGAAGGAAACCGTTCTCTTCATTTGTCGCTGTCTATTGGCCGGAAATGTCTTTGATTGGGGAGCCAAAGAAGTTGTCAAACTGATGAATCGCACAGAAGGATTCAGTTTCCAAGAAGCTATTGAAAAAGTTCAAGAACGTCCATGGCTTATTGATAACTTTGACGAGTTCTATGAGAGATATAGCTACTATCAGAGCGTTATGGTTTTTGTTGACAACTCAGGATGCGATTATGTTCTCGGCGTGATTCCATTTATTAAGCTTTTCATGCGCAATGGAGCAAAAGTATAATGATGGAATTAGATTGACCAATATTGAAATGTAATTTAAGGTTATTATCGTTGCCAACACAACTCCTGCTTTGAATGACATCACATATAGCGAGATGAACAATGTATTCATGAGTATCTGCGCCACAGATGATGAACTTCGTCAGTATTCGAAAAACCGTCAGTTGCATTTTGCACAAAGTGGGCAAGGTTCACCGTGTTTGGATTTGAGGTATTAAAATAACATAAATCTCGTTTAATAGAAATTGTGAATTATATGAATAAAACATTTCAGAAAAATTCATAGTGATTTAAATCGAATGGCTATCCGTGAGCAAACTGATCTGGTTGTACTCGAGGGAATGGGACGTGCTATCCACACCAACTTCAAAGCTAGATTCCGGTGTGATGTATTGAAGGTATTCATAATAATCGAATTGGGTGAACATTTTCAAATTAACATTTTCAAATTGATTGTTAGGCAGCAGTCATCAAAACAAAATGGTTGGCTGGTCGTCTTGGAGGTGATATGTTCAGCATTGTATTCAAATGGGAGCGTGGAACTCAGACTGCCAACAATGTCAAAGTGTTTTTTGAAGCTGATGAATATTTAGAGGATAAAGAAAAAGAAGAAGAAGGAACTGCATAGATGTGTGAATAAATGGGGTCAAGCATTTACATTCTGTAGTACGTTTCAAAGTTCAGATTGTACTTTGTCCAACAGGATCTTTGCTCATGCTCTTGCGATTTTAGTTGATTTGACAGGTTTTTTTCCGAGACGAGATATTTTTGCTTTCTCACTTTGTATTTATCTGTGCCTTTAACATTAATTTTCAGCATATTCCTTCATTCAACCAACACATATTTTTTCTTCTTTAATTTTGATTAGTTTTTTTGTCGTTTTTTGCAGCTTTATTGCATACTTCATCCTTCTTCCAATGTCTATTATAAAGTATTTATCAAATTCTGATAAAATAATTAAGAGTCTTAAATTAAGATTGACGATAACCTTTTACTAAGCTGTGCGCGAGTGAGAAATTAGAAATGGTCAAAGTACGATTTCATGTTTTTCAAAATGCGAATATGCGATTTTTTTAATAACCGGGTTTCCATTAACGTACTTATGGTTTTAATATCAGTATCTATACATTTTTCAGAACGTTTTGAGAACTTTAAAAATGCTTAGCTCTGGGTGTTAATTTTTCGACTTGTTCGACATACTCAAAGTTAAAAAAAAACTCCGGTTGTAGCGAAACATCCAATGAATGATCTATTTTTGTTTACTATTTTGTTATTTTAGTTCCATTTGTTTCGAATTACGATTAATCGATGTTTATGACCCATTTTCCTACTGCACGTGCTCGCATAGTTACGTTGTAATGAAACAAAATTTGAGAATGCACATTTATCAAAGCCATGTGCCGCGCCATCGTAATGAATATAAATAATAAATAATCAATCAACGCAACCTTAACCAAGGGCACAAATAAGAACACCTGTCTAATTATTGAAAAATAATGTAATGAAACCCATAATAAATATTTAACTGAACCAATAAAAAATGAAGCATTTCATTTAAAAAATAATTAGTTTGTTCATTAATGTCTTATATAAATTTTGTTTTGAAACATTCTATAACCATCATATAACATCACTATGTAAATCCATTTTATTTTATTCCAAATAAGAATACGACAAACTGGGATTGAAATTTTCTAGGCGCTAGATTAGAATTACCGAGAGCAGTTATCTGTCTGGTTCAACATCTATCAAATAAGCCAGATTTTTTCATATTCGACTGAAAAAACGCAATAAAATCGCAGAACTGATTTGTTTAGAAAAGTTCCAATTCGTCGTTTTCATCTTCGAAAACGGCTTGTCCTTCACGACGTTCAAATTCGAGTTCATCACCCATTCCTTCATCAGATGAATTATCATCAAAATTGTCAAAATCATCGATTATTGGTTGACGGTTGAAATGAGGCCGATCGGCTGGTATAAAATCGGCCTCATCGTCTTCTATCAGCGCTTCTTCAATGACATCGTGTTCTATGTGATATTCTTCATGTTCTTCGAAATCATTATCTTCTAAATCGCCTTCTATCTGGTCATTTCTTTGTGAAATAGCAACAAATTGCGCAACGTCTTCAGAAGAGGTTAGTTGCTGTGTGCTGCTTTCTAGTTGATCGGTTTGTGAAAAGGCTCGTGGAAGAACGGCATCTGAGAAATCATCTTGTGGTCTGATTACTGGTATACTTTGGATTACCATTTTGTGGAAAAATGACTTGTTGTTCGTCCTTAGGTCGCGGTGAAAATGAACGCTTCCGACCAGCACTGTGGCGAAGGAGTTGCCGTGGCGCTGCTCGTCGAGCGGCTGCTCTTCTCCGGTCGTCATCTTTCTGTAGGGATTCCAATGCTTCATCAATATCTGGCAAGAGGTCATCATCGACAAATAAACGGGCAAACTTGCTCTCCTTTCGCAACTTTTTAATTACGAGATAATGCGAAGTGAACATCGAGAAATCCTTTTCTGGGAAGAATGGCTTGTAATTATAATCCATTGCGTTGACACTATTCGGATCATGCGGTACGCCTTTCTTGTATTTGACCAAAAATTGAATGCAATTCCACGACAAATGTTTCGGATACAAATTTGCGTGAGAATGTTTGTTATTAGATGGGAATCGATAGATACTGTAGCCCATTTTTGTAAGTCGTTCTTCTTCCGCAATTTCTTCCAGTTCTCGCATGTATTTTGCGTCTTCTTTCTTTTGAATCTCCGGGTCCACATCCTTAAAAAGCTTCTCGAGAATTTTCCATGTCTCTGAAATATTGTTATCTTATGGAATTGAAGCCAGCAATTGAATATGCCTATTCGTTCTTTCTTTCGCTCATTCAGCTTGTTCTTGAAGTCCCAAGCATTCCAGGATAAAATTGGTGCCATTTTCACTTTGCGTCTAAATTCTTCCAACTCATTTTTTTTCCTGCTCCATTTTTTCTTCGATATTCTCTACAATTCTTTGGACTTCAAGATCGTCGTCGTCGTCTGCAGAAATTGTTTCAGAAATGTCATAAATAATTAGATGTTAGCTTGCATTGGAATTCATCACCACTGCTGATATCATCATCGAAGTTCTCACGCCAATTGCTGTCTTCTGTTTCCATGTTGAATTTTTGAAATATCTGAAATTACATCAATTTATGTAGAGCAAATTAATTTAAGAGAAATGAGTATTATGACAAATCATACAGGACTATAGTGATATAAATAATGTTTGATGTTGAACCGAGTAGGCGGGCTCTACCCTCGAGTCGAGCCAAAAACCACGCCTCCCTCACGTTAAACGTGCGCTCTCCTCGAACTACGTATTTTCATTAATTCGAATTGTAAAATTGACTGATAATAATAGAAATGGTCCGACGCAGAAAAAATGCAATACATAACGAAAAGTGATGGTTTCGATTCCCACGAGAAGGACAATTCTGTCTGTTCCTCTGCGGGCAGACATTACAAAAGGACGACGAAAAAATGTCGCCGATAGGCGCCTATCCATATTAAAAGGTGAATGAATAATCGTTTTTTTTCACGTGGTTCCAAGATTAAAAAAAGCGTTGGATATGTCGTAAAAAAAACCAGATAAGGCAACAAAACGGTATTTTTGTTTGATAGAAATTTTGACGTATTGTATACGTTAACTCAAATTGATGACAACACGAAATAAAAAACATTGTTGAGAATATTTGTTTCTCTTTGTAAACGCGAATATTTGATGCATGAATCTTTTGTTCTCCACACGTCTTTTCTGCTCCCTGTTTTCAAAATTTTTCAAAGCCCCACTAAACATATCAGCTTTACAATTAAAAGCTTGATGTCATTTTAAAATGAATGTAATTTTTAAACAAAATCATCGTGGCAACAAAAAAATGTTTATAAAAGGCAATCGACGACATGTTTTTCCAAATGTTTATTTGCTCTTCAGAAATAGGATTTAACCATTAAATCGAGAAAAAAATGTTGTTTAGCAGTGCCATCAAATGAAAGGCCAATCTAATTTGATAATTAACAATTCAATGTCGAGAGACTCGATAGCGACTACTTTACAATTCAGAGAAACCATTTGTGAAATTTTATCTGTTGTGGTTAATGTTTAAGCATGTGAATATTCTATTCTTTTCGTACGTATATAAAACAAAGTGAAAATTGAATGATTTTATATTGCTTTTCGCGGTACAAAATAGTTGCCTCCATAGGCTTGACTGGGAAAACAGAATACGGCGGCAGATAGCATTAACGCTATTTGTTTTCGATTTAGAAAAGAAGATTAAAAATTGAGAAAGTTATCAACATCGACGTGTTTACCATGTGTTTTCCTTAGAAGATTCATCAATTTGAACCCATTGAACAAACGATTTTTGTTAACACACTGAAATGTGTGCAGCCATAAATGTGGCCGGCCATAATTTATTTTATTTATATACCACAAACGTAATCACGTTGTATAAGAGTTGGAAGTAAATAACGTTTAAAAGGGCAGAAAAATGGTCAGATAATAGTTTTCACGTTTTCAAAACTGAACTGGCATTATTATGAGAGATATTGACTGCCTCAATAGCAATTATTTCCTGTACGGTAAGTGAACAGACTCGTAGGTGCATGATTTCCATTTCGGCCTTCAACACTGACCTTCAAGCTTTACTTTCAAAAAAGTTTCTAACATGATATTCTGAGGGCAGCTGAATTCATTCTCATGTTATTATTTTTTCTGCGATTGTTCAACAATTTTTCTAATCAGATCGTATCGTTAAGTATCAGTAACACATACACCCTCATAAATTTGTTGATAGAAATTCAAAGCATATCTTTCGAGTTTCGATTCTTTTTTTTTTCAGATAATACTTTATTTTTCAGGTAATGAAAAGTTTACGTTGTCAATAATTGTTTGTCTTCCAGCTCATACGCTGGAGAAAATTTGAAAATAAAGGAACGTTCTCTCCAAGCTCAAAAAAATGGTGTCCATAAGAATGACAAATGGAATACATAGAAACATATGATTTTGGACGGTTCATATTTAAGCTGGTGTTAAAATATTATCAGAAAATTATAGTTTCAGCGCGTTTCACAGAGCCACAAAATTATTGATATCGTCGATAGGTACATGATGTTTATAAAGCGTTTTTATTAGATAACGTTTAGAGAAAGAGAAAAATGTCAATCAATAATTTAAGAAATTGGAATAATTGAGGTCGTGACATAATTACATATTGTTATGTATATTACATATTCTGGGAGATAACCGTCATCAGAATGAGCTTCACAATCTGCTTTGTGAAGCCTAAGCAAAGGTTCGAAACAAATTAAATTAAATGAACTTGAAAAGATAGCACTCTATACATTATGAATGTATGGCAATTTAAAACAAATAAAAGAATATAATTGAGCAAATTGCAAACAGAACGTCGATCGACGATGAGGACGCTGTTCTGGAACGAGGGGTTTTTGTGGTTGTAGTGCTGAGTTTCATAGTGGTTTCTGAAGCATCAGTTGGTTCTGGTTCTGGTGGCGGAGTGGTGAACAATCCAATGACAAGCCCTCCTTTTCCGTCTCCGAACCCTTTTTCGGCTGGATTACTTGGCACACAATTAAATGTATTAGCGATAACCAAAGTGTATAATCCTTCGTTACAAACGCACGTTGTTCCGTTGCAATGCGAATCAAGAAGACATTCTTGTCCGTTCACGCAATCGCCACCCATAATTATTTTTTAATTGCCCACAATTTGTTTTGCTTTATACCTGGGAAGGCCACTCGATCCTCGCTTGGAAGACCGTTTCCTCCCTCTCCAGGAGCTCTGGTTTTTGGAATTTCGTCGCTGAAATCAACAAATCTTAATTATCAAGCATACAATTTTAGTGAATGTACGCGCTGAAAGGTGTTCCTTCTCCATTCCATCCAATGACGACTTGGTCTATTTCATTAGTATTTCTAAGCCAGTTGATAAGGGGTTCATAATATTCGAGAAGTGGCTGCCCATCAAGCTCGCCCTTTCCAGTAATCATTTCAAGTGCCTTAATCCAAGTGACGGAAGATCCAAGCATCATAGTTTCGCGAAGTTTCTCTGTAGTATCTTCTGACAATATGCATCCTTCGCTCTGAATACGCAAACCGTAATCAAGTTTTACAATTTTCTAACTCACTAAGATGGTTCCCTCTGGGCAAAGAGCCTTGAGAATTTGGAACTTTAAGACGTAGCTGATCAATGTCTTTGCAGCCGGAGAGTGAACTTGAGAAACCGCGTGATGAATCAATGCATCAAGGTTAGAAACATTGTACGGTTGCGGCGATCTGACGCCTTCATAAGTCTTTCTAATTTCCCACCATCTGTCGTTCATCTTGGCAGTTGGAATTTTTCCTTCGAACAATTCGTATCTCCACTGATCAGCAGCAATAGTGAATGGAAGCTTTGTGAAGCTTTCCAACGCTTCTCTATAAATAATTGAGTTATTATGAGAAACAGTCAGAGAGCAGTACTTGTATAGTTTATTGATAATAATCGAATCCTTGATTTCAAGATGCTCGGCTGGAACAAGTTTTTGAGAATAGAGATAATGTGGATTGGTAGAAAGATGAGCAAATGCACTAGCGATAGCATCACTGAGCACAGGAGACGCAGGCTCTCTGAACATTTTTTTACATCATAAATTAATTTATAAAAGTACCTACCTAAATAGAAGATCTTGGTTTCGGTACATATATTGGTAATATGTTTGAACGAGAAGTGAATGAGCAAGCTCGAAATCTGGCTCGCCCAGTTGAGCACAAGCTTTCACTCTATAATATTTAGTTTGAAAAGTGATATTAAGTTATTTAATACCTGAAATCATTTGGAGCACGCATATCTAAAGCTGCCGGAGGATTGCAAATCATATCCTTGCTCCATATTCTTGCAAAAATCGAGTTTGTCCAGAATGACTTTGGCAATTGCGGGAATCCAGCAGATTTGAAGTAACGGTAAGCCTGCAGTGATTCATTGTTTTAGTTGGATTGAAATCAAAATTTACGTTGATGAACATCTTTTTAGTTGTATAGTTCTGAGAATTGAAAGCAGAAAGCATTGCTTCAGCTGTATCAGATTCCTCATCGAATGGTTTGGTTTGGTCATAATGTGCCGACCAATCGCCTCCTTCCAAAGATCCAAAAAGATGTGCTGGAATTGGACCATCCTTGCTGAGCCCAACTGGATTAGAATAAATTCCGGCAAGTTGTCGTCGTATATAAGCATGGATCTGATATGGAAAATAAACTTTTGTAAAAAATAATCCTGATATACCAATTGATAAAATGGTTCAATAGTTTTATGGATTTTTTCGATTTGTTTTTGAAGATCAAATGCTGGTTTTTTATCATTGGATCCCATATCAAAAGCACTTCTCCACATTGCTCCGCCATCGGTGAATCCGTTCAAAACAGCTCCTAAACACAAATTATGCAAAATTTCAGTACGAAATAAATCGGTGTACCATCGTTTGACACCTTTATAATAGTATTGTAAGACTTCTTTGATTTGGCAATAGCAGTAACGTAAGAAACCCAAAGATGTTGAAGTCTAGAAGCATCCTTCTCGTTGCGGAAGATTGAGTCCATATCAATTTTTCTGAAAGTGATTGACCTATTGTAAATTTCTTAAATTTTATACGAACTGCAAAGCACATGGTGGTGGAACATCTTTGTCACAAATGGTCGTGTCTTTCGAATCTCTGTTCAACTAAATATTGAAATCATACATATCTGTATTTTAAATTAATTTAGATACCATTGCTTGTGCTTGCGAAAACTCGGAGAGCTTGGAAGGAGCCAAAGCGTTCATTCCTTCAAATGAAACATATCCAAGTTTACGACGAAGGTTTTCATCATTGATCGACGACATGTCAAACTGTTTTGCTTGCATTGATGTGCTACGGACAAATCGGGACAAAACCTCAATTTAAAAAGGGAGTTGTTTAATCGGTAAAAAGATTAAATACATCTTCAGCCTCATCAAGAGCCATTTTAGCCTGTGGTGAAGCATTGTTGAAGTACCTCCATCCAGACACGGCAACCTCTCGGAGAACCTCCAAGTATTATTCATTGATAAAGTAAGAACGAAATATTATTGCATTTTACGGCAAACCACGATTTTCATTCATGTAGTTTTGAAACTACTTCTTTAATTGTATACATTCACATTAATTACTCATTAATGAATAATTAGTTCTGTAATATCGTGGGCAAATGCTTTCACTTTACGCAATTACCGAAGTGTTGAATAACGATTCTAATTAGGTATTTCAAATTTCTTGCATTCCTAAAACTGTCATCCCTTAATCTTTGCAAATCACCGACGTCATTATAATCCTATCAAAAAATCCGGTATCTGCCAGTCAGGCGATATCTCTTTAATTTTTTTTATCATATCACTAAGATAGCACTTCATTTCTTTCTTCTTTAGCGAAAGGCAGCCAATCGCGCGACGTACTTTAATGGCTTCTGTCTCGTATCCTGTTAGCCATGTACGCAGCTTATTTTCGTCTTTGATGGATGCATCCTCCTGGAAAAACGAATCGAAAGTGCCATCAATGGGGCGTTAATGGAATTTGCCACGTTTGGCAAGAGTGGTCGAAAGAATGCGCAAATAAATCCTTAGCTTACTTGAAGCAATTCCGTTTTCCAGTAATCGCTGCTGTTAACCAAAGCCTGGGCTGCTGGATTCGCGTAAACTGGTGTTTTTGGAGTATTGTCCTTGTTCTGAAAACATATTGATTCTTGATTATTGTTCAGTCACTTACTTCAATAGATCCAGTATTCAAGAATCTGTCAACAAGCTGTTCAATGACTTCAGTGTTCAGTTCATCTGGTTGCGTAATCTAAACATCCGTCTAATAATAATAATAATAATAATAATGAATAGGATAGATGGATCAAGCCGATAAAAAATTCTCATACCGTCTTTTCAGCAACATCTCCGTAATCCTCAGATTCAATATTATCGAATTTAATGGCTGGTTCTGGCTCTGATGTTGGCTCCATTTCCATTTTTGAAGTCGGCTCTGGTTCGGCTTTTGGCTCTGGCTCCGGTTTTGGTTCCGGCTCAGCCTTTGGCTCCAATGCTAGTTTTGTTGTTGTATTATTATTTGGTGAATCGAAGGTATCAGTCAACTCAAATGGTTCGCCTTCTGAAAATGCGACTTCCGGTTCTCTTGGAGATTCATCGCCCGGTAATAGTTCAGCCTTTGGCTTAATATCTTGAGATGATACTGCCAACGATGCTACTAGTAAGAGCAATAATGATACCCACTTCATCGAGTTCCCTGAAACGGATATGTTGAATTGAAACTTTGCGAAACTTTAAACAATGCGTCGCGTTTTATACAACGGATAAGGGATTGAGGAAAATGATAAAATGAAGGATACACGCGAGGCCAAACACCAACAATGGATAAATCTCAGAACTAGACGGTCGCCGATGCAAGAATGACAAATCCTACCCAATGGAAAACCAGACAATTTGAAATGACACGCCTTGGATACGCATGATTCATTTTTTACCGTTTCAGCGATGGTAGAAAAGATATTAAGAATTGCATTAAACCATCTCAGTTTTCCAATGACAAACACGTTGAAGTGTTAATTATAAAATAAATTTCAAATGTTTTGAACGGTAGTAGTTGTTGAAGTAGTGTGACGTTGCCCAACGAAGACTGTCCGATACTTCCATTGCGTTGCTTTAAGTACTTCAATAAATTGATGATTGCATTCTCAATATGTAAGAAGATTAAACATTCAGTAGTATTCAATTTTCTTGTTGATTTCATCATTTAATGAGAAACAGTTGGAGAAAAACAATATTCTAAACTATGAGTAAGTGCTTGAAGGGTTTTTGAAATAAATTTGACCCACATTCCTTAAAAATCGACGATTTCATCATTCCGCGTCAACGATTAAACTTTATAGTAAGAAAAACATTTTTTTTTAAGCAACAATGGTTTAAGAGTTTAATTTTTTCTCTGGTAGCAGACAGCAAAAAAGAAACGAATGACTGAATTTGGTCGAACAAAAACCGGCACGGACGTAGTCAATGTTCAATCCATTCATCTCTTTCTTTCTCATTTGCTAATAACTTCATGCGGAATCTGGACAGCTTCACTTCACTCATCGCCTTTTCTCAATGTTTATTAGTCTTTTTTATTTTGCCTCATTAAGGTGTAGAAATGGCTATTAAAAAGAAAAAAAGGCAATGATATATGTGTGTTCGAAAATATGTAGGAATACCGACTGTGTCGGCGACTAGTATATCATTAACACGCCATCAAATCTGTTCCGACACCCACAAAGAGAGAAGAAAGGAGAAGTTCGGAAAATGTAAAGATTGAGCGCCATCGGAATGTGTCACTGGATGGATGTTGTATGAGTGAAGGTCACTCGGGTCCGTCTATCGTTTTGCAACCGATTAACTCAATTAGACACCCGATACGATACGACTCGAAGATCCCTGGTTTCTATTATATCTAAATCGAAAGTGCATTTTGTTTTGTTAATTGGCCGAAATTGATTATCGGGAAGCAGGAAAAATGGGAGGGAGTGCGAGCGGAATTAAACGGGGATTTGCATTGAAATAACGCTGAAAGATAGTCATCAGACAATCGTAAAAAAAAGAAAACGGTACGAAGTTGAAAAACACCATGATTGTATCGTTACGTTGCATCCTTCATTTTACTTTTTTGAAAAAAATCCTGGATTTTTCGCGTTCATATGTGCTTTTATGAACTGCTGAAACAATCTTACTGATTGGAAGAATTGAAGGAAACATTAATAGGAAAAAAATAGTTTGTTTTTATATTTAGAAATAGGTGCGAGAAGGCTAGTTGTTAGGGACAACTGGACAAACAATAAATGTGGCGCAAATCTAGGGTAATTTTATGTACCCGTAAAATAACTCACATTTATTCTATACATATGGTAGTAACGCTTTAATGTTTGATAATCGAGTTAAATTATTAATAAATAGATTTGGAACAAATAAGTTCACTTAGTGAATATAGATGACAAGATAAATGATAAAGAAAAGTGAAACAATTAGTGGATATCCCTAAGTTGGCGATGAAGATGACATCAATGCGCGCAGAATGATAGCCGAAGCAGATCGGTGTCGACATTTCTCGGCGAAGACAGTGTCCTAGTTTGCAGCGAGGCAATGCACGGATGATGAGCGTCTTCAACGTCCAAACCTTTCTGGGTCATTTGACTATTGAAATCCGACGTATATCTGTATGTGTTTCGCCTAAATGCGCATCACTTCCTACGTATGAACGAATTTGGCGAAACTGGATGATTTTAAAGGCATTTACAAAAAAAATCCATACATTTATAAACAATCATCTAACATTTAGAAACGTACGATAGTATTTCAAAAATTAATTTGGAAACTCAAGAAATTTTTTTTGAAACACCGCATCTATAAAAGTTGTACCAATAAGGGTGAATACAGTAAAAATTGTCAATTCGCTAATTTTTTGTTTATTAATTTTTAATTAGTTTTTCCAATAACGAAATTGATGAACATGCTCTGTTAACATCACACGATTTTAAAATTGTACATTGGAAATGGTCCCATTAATTGACACTTGAAATATACCAAGGTAGAACTCAATTCTCGATGGACGTGTGTCTAATTGCTTGCAACGGTAAGATAAGCGCAGTACTAGGACTTGAGAGCTGTCCATCACCAGTCTTATCTTCTGCGGGAAAGTGGGGCGGCACTTATGAGCCTGTCAATCGTTGATGTTATAAAAGCCGTACTGAAAAATTGAAAAATGTACTTCCAGTCATGAGAGCAATTATAATTGCATCTCTTCTGGCCCTGGCCTTTGCCGCCACCCCAGCTTACGAGCAGAACTTCACCCCGAAAACTGAATATCACTACAAGTTTGATGGACTTATTCTATCTGGACTACCAACCGCTTCTTCGGATATGGCCCAAACTCGGGTGTCATGCCGTGCCCGCATCCAGATGGTCGATGATCTCTATGTGCACCTTCAATTAATCAACATTCGCTTTGCTGGATCACATCTTCCAGAAACCGAGCAGATGCCATCTCTTAACTCATTGGAGCAGCGTGAGCTCTCCGCTGAACACAAGGAGATTCTCGAGCTTCCAGTTCGATCCAAGCTCAGAAACGGACTTGTTTCGGAACTCCACTTTGCCGATGCTGATGAAGAATGGTCGAAGAACTTGAAAAGAGCTGTGCTCAACATGATCTCTTTCCACCAAGGACTTCCACAGGACGACTCCTACGAAAATGAAGTCAAGCAAAACAGCGAGAAGTACTTTGTTATCAACGAGAAGACTCTCGAAGGAGATTGCTCAGTTGCCTACACCATCGATCAAGACAACAAGAAAACCGTCATCACAAAGTCCATCGACTTCAATAAGTGCATCATGCGTCCTGAATCAGTTTACGGCTACAGATTCATCTCAGAGTGCCCAGAATGTTTGAAGAACTCCGAAATTTTGAAGCCACAAACCGTGTACACTTACACTTTGGAGAATGGACGTCTCGTTGAGACGTACGTTCACTCTGTCTACTCTTTGAACGTTAACGGAAATGAAATCATGAAGACTGAAACTCGCTCTAAGCTCACCTATGAGGAGGAACACAAGATCAACAATGAAATCAAGAAGGTAAGAAATAAAATCATTCACTAAAATTTTATATATTTTTAAGATGATTGGAGAGAAGGAAGAAATCTTCTACTCGACGAAGTGGGAGGAAATGCTCGAAAACTTCTACAAGAACGGAGACAAGATCGAAAACAAGCCTTTTGAGAAGTTCCCAACCGACCGCAAAATTCGTGCCATCAGAATGATCACTGAGCATATGCAAGAGTATGAGAACAATATGCCAGAGACTGCTCATCAAATGGCTCGACTCGTTCGTGTTCTCCGCACCACCAGCCTCGAAGAACTGTCCCAGGTCCACAACATTATTTACAAGAAGGCTGATCAAAAGGTAATTATTGAGGAGAATCTTGTTGTGAATAATATTGAAATTCTAGATCAAGAACATCATTGAGCACGCCCTCTCTGTTGCGGGAACCAAGAACACCATCCATCACTTGATTCACCACATCGAGAAGGAGGATATCACTCCAATCAAGGCCGTTCAAATTCTGAAGTCCATCCAGGAGACACCATTCCCATCCGAGCAGATTGCTGATCTTCTTGTCGAGCTCGCCAAGTCGCAAGTCGCCAGGAAAAATGAGCTCATACGTCAATCCGCCTGGCTCGCCGCTGGATCCGTTGTCCGTGGAGCCACATCGAAGACTGCTGATGTTCACTTCATTCGTGAGGACACCCGTGAAATCAAGGAGAAATTCTTGACTGTCTTCCTCAATCAATACAAAATTGCCGATTCGACCTATGACAAAATCTTAGCTCTCAAGACTCTTGGAAACGCTGGAATCGATCTTTCCATAAACGAGATTGTGAAGATCGCCCTCTCACGCCGTGTACCACTTGTTGTTCGCAGAGAAGCTCTTGAATCTCTTCGTCTTCTCAAGGACATCATGCCACGCAAAATCCAGAAGGTTCTTCTTCCAATCTACAAGAACCGTCAATTGGAGCCAGAACTCCGCATGTCCGCTCTCTGGAGACTCATGTCAACACATCCTGAAGAGTCAGTCCTCGTTCAAGTTGCTTCGCAAATGCAGAAGGAGTCCAACCAACAAGTCGCCACTTTTACCTACTACTTGCTTCGCCAGTTTGCCCAATCGGTCAACCCATGTCACAAGCGTCTTGCAGCTGATTCTTCCCGCGTCCTCTCATTCGTTCGCTACCAGCCTTCAGAAGACATTCTCTCGATCTATTCCCAACTCCCCCTTTTCCATGAACAACTTCTTTCGGGAGCTCAATTTGACTTTACCGCCATTTTCGGAAAGAACTCGTTCTTGCCAAAGGAACTCCACACTACCCTCGAGTCGGTCTTCGGAGGAAACTGGAACAAGTACTTCGCTCAAATCGGATTCTCTCAGGAGTATTTCGATCAAGTTGTCGTGAAGATCATCGACAAATTGGAGAAATACAACATCAAGGAAAGTACCATCGTCCGCGGACGCCGTGTCCAAACCGGAATCAAAATGCTCAAGGATCTTGCTAAGAAGTTGAACATCCGCGCTCGCCTTGACTCGCGCCAAGAGAAGAACGGTTACGCAATGGCTTACCTTCGCTACAAGGATATGGATTACGTTGTTCTCCCAGTTGACAACGAAATGTTTGATAAACTTATCAGCAAGTACCTTGATGATGGAAGACTCGACGTCCAAGAAATCAGACGCATTCTCAACAAGGAATCGGAATTCGAAGCTCATCATGCCGCATTCTTCTACGAGACCATTCGCCGTATTCCATCTACCATTGGATTCCCAATCTATTTCACTGGAAAGATCCCAACCGTCACCTCAATTGAAGGAAAGTTCTCTGTCGAACTTCGTGAACGTGAGGCTCTGTTCACAATTGAAGTCCGTCCATCGATTTCTGCCACCAACATTTATCAAATGAACGTCCTCGTGCCAGTCTTTGAGAACGGAGTCAAGACTCTCCAGTCTCTTCGTGCCTTCACCCCAATCAAGTTGGAAACCACTGTTTCTCTAAAGAACAAGCTTGAAATTGACTACAAGGTTATCGTCCCAGAAAACCAGAAGTCCGTGATCGCAATAACCAACAGACCAGTTGTCTTCCTTCGCTTCCCAGCATTCTCGATTATTGAAAATGTTGAGACCGAAGAGAGAACCGTTCCTGTTCCACAATGGCGTCAGAAGACCCAAGAGCTCGAGAAGACCTACAACTTCTATGGATTGGAATTCACTACCCGCGGAAATATCTTGAGACAATGGAACCTTGAAAACTTCCTTTTGGTCGAACAAGACTTTGAATTCATCATCGAGAACAAGAAACGTCCAGTTGAATTCTCCGCCCGTCTTGCCATTGAGATGCCACAACAAGCTGATCTTTCCGAGATCAAGTTTGACAACGTTTTCGACAATGAATTAGAGCTCGAGGACAGCGAAACTGAGAAGAGACGCGACTATTTCGATCAGATGATCCGCAAGATCAAAAACGAGAACGGATACAAGCAGCGCATTTCACTCAATCTTCAAGCTCCACGCGACTTGTATTGGAACACAGCAGTGGTCACTGTCTGCGACAAATATGTCCGTGTCTGCAAGTTCCAACTCGACACTCAACGCTCTCCAGTTTTCGACGAGTCGAAGGAATGGACTTTGAACAGTGTTCTCCTTGCTGCCCGCCCAGAAATGCCATCATCCCTTCGCCAGCTCCGGGAGCAACCACATCGTGAAGTTCAGTTCCTTCTCAAGACCAAGTGGGGATCCAACTTGAAAAACGAAGTTACCGTCAAGGCTCAACTTCAACAATCCAAGGAACAGAAGAACTATCTTCGTAATGCTGAAAGACAATATAACGGAATCCCAGAATATGAACTTCTCATCAAGGCTGCCCGTCTCAACCAGGTCAAAGCTGTTGCCGAATACAAACTCTCAAGAGATGCCGAGAGAACCTTTACCCGTCTTTTTGACATTCTCAAGGCCTACAACTTCTGGACTGTCTCTGAATTGCCAAAAGAGAACGAGGACAACCGCATTTTTGTTCAACTCACTGTTGAGCCATACACTCGCCAATACGTCAACTTGACCGTTCAATCGCCCGAGCAGACCGTTGAATTAAGAAACATGCGTGTTCCACGGCTTTCTCTTCCATCCATCGCTCAGCACTCTCTTCGCTATCAACTTAACAAGAAGATTTCCAGCACCTGCAAAGTTCAAGAAAAGGAAGTCATGACTTTTGACAGATTGACCTACCGTGCTCCACTCACCACTTGCTACTCAGTTATTGCCAAGGACTGCTCTGAGGAACCAAGATTTGCTGTTTTGGCCAAGAAGTTGAACAAAAATACTAAGAAATTGGCCCTCCAGATAATCCGTAACGAGCAAGAAATTCTTCTTGAATTGCGCAATGAGGAAATGCTTGTCAAAATTGACAACATGAAAATCCCAACTACCGAGCTCGAGCAATTCGAGTAATCACAAATTATAAAATATTAATCGATTTTTTCTCCTTATAGCATCGAAGTTCATGGGAACAAACTTGTCGTTGTGCAACTCCCCGAAGGAGAGGTTCACTTTGACGGATTCACTGTCAAGACCCACTTGCCGGCTGTCTCTCGCAAAAACTTGATCTGCGGACTTTGCGGAAACAATGATGACGAGGTACATAAATGATTGGAAATCAGAAATCAAGGAAAATATTATAGACCACCAATGAATTCCGTACTGCTGAAGACATTGAAACTGAAGACATCGAGGAATTCCATCGTTCGTATCTTCTCAAGAACGACGTAATCACATTTCGTATTATGATAGAATTCATTTAAATCGAATTTAGCAATGCGAAATTGAAGAGGATCGTCTTTCGGAGAAGAAGAACTACAAAAAATACGAGGATAGCGAGGACGAATCATATGATGATGAAGATTACGAGAACTACAGAAGCGACAGACGTCATGATCTTCAGAAGTCTGGTAAGAAATCAAATTTTTTTCTTATTATTGCAGAAAAAATATTGCAGCCCTACGCGAGAAGACTTATGTGAAGGAGTTCTCACACCGTGTGTGCTTCTCCCTTGAACCAGTTGTTGAGTGTGATCGTCAATACGAAGCTAAGCAAACCCTCGTCAAGAAGATTCGCTTCACTTGTATGCCACGTCACGAAATCGAAACCCGCCGCTACATGAAGGAAGCTCGCACACAGATCCTCAGTTTGGATGACTTCCCAGTCTCTTACATTGAGGCTATTGAAATGCCAACCGCATGTGTTGCTTATTGAGCTCCTATTGATTTAGTTTGAATTTAAATAAATAATTTTTTCTCTGTTTACTGTTAAAATCCCTTAATTTTTAGCAGTTCACTTAATATGTTAATAATCAAAAATGTGTATGTAATCAAGTAACGTGAAAACTCTTTTTTTTTTACAAGACGGGCAATTCATTCGGCGCCTTGTCATGTTTTAGACGAAAATCGCTACTAATTTGAGCCCACGCTGTAATTGTCCCATCTTTCCCAAAACTACTTTCATTCACATGAATGCTGCCAATTTTATTTGCTTCGTCCCAGTGTTCTGCACATTCAACATTTTTCCGACGTGCGCTATCATTCATGAACAATAGTTTCCATACTGTTTTGGATTCACAAAATTGTCTTTATTTTTTTTAAAGATGAATCCAGGAAATGGACAAACTCAAGACTTCATGATTTATCAGAATGACGCTCTAAGTTCACCGGTTTACAAGGAAATTGTTTATAGTCGACAAGATCTCCATGAAATATCCGCTTTCGAAGTAATCGAATGAAAAGTAAAATTCATTTGAACAAAAAGACCTTTCAGCTTGAAACCGAAACAATTTCGCTATACTTATGGTCTCGTCCATTAGGAATTTTTCGCTGGCTTGAATTGGGCTTGCTCATAAGCTTTTTCATTTTTCAATCGATGCTTCAAAATGTTTACAGAAACAACACTATTGAAAAGGTAGGAGTATTATGAAGAACATCCAGACGAGAATTTCATCCCAATCAGTCAGAATTCAGATAATGTTTGTTTCGGTATTGTCTTTAATGACAATCTTCTGCGTAATAATACTGATTTGTTACCTATTCCATTCTCACAGAATAGTTTTCATCTTTCTTCAACGAGTGGTAAAACATATCAGATTATAAATATTGATAAATCAATTAAAGGAAAATATATATGCTTTCACAGGAATTGCTTTAATGTCGATTCTTGGACTATGGAGCATATTAATCTCGTTTTATGAGAATGAGGTAAAGATATTAAATGTTGTAGTTCATCATTTGTGGCTTATTAACATTTAATTTTTAGGTGAACTATCAAGCACAATTGATTCTTGCTGCGGTGAAATTGCCGAAAAAAGCGAACATCATAAAAATTTTTTATTTCAGAATCTAGAATTTCTTACGGTCATTGTGTTTGTCTTTGATTACATTCTTCAACGCCGTATGGCGCATTATTCTAATGGATCCAATTAACTGCAGGAATTTTTTGGAATTCTTCGAATAACAATTTACAAATGTTTTCTTCACTATTCAATCAGTAACTATACATGATTTTTTTTGCAAACCTTGATGTTTTAATTAACACTATCACGTATTTTTTGTTGTTGACATATTCTTGAAATTCAAGATTTATTTGCTCTGAATTTGTATCTTAGCCTCGGCTTGTGGTCTGATTTCTTAAGAAGTTAAGATTGTGGTATTATGTATTCTGAAGACTTATATGACTTGGTGTTCGGTGTATTCGTGATTATAGAACATGATAGAACATTCTGACATTCTGATACTGCCGTAGGACACACGACACATTCGTAATAACTTATAAAATAAAAATTTTGTAAAATTTATTTTATTGGAAATCAAAACACAATACAAGACAATTCAATACGGTAGAAAAGATAGAAGAACATAGAAAGTTGAAGTTGAATGGCATCTTAAAACGTTCGGAAAATATTTTCAAACATTAATTAAGAGCCATTTGTATGGGAGAAGTTATTCGTGTGAAGTATAAAGAAGGAAATTCAAGAATGAATTTGTGCATAGTACTTATTAGGAGACAGTCACGAATAATACTTTTTCGGTGCTAATTGGTGCAGCCGAATCAGCGGCCAGCAACATGTTGCAAGTGTAATTAATGAACACGTGAACTTGTTTGTGTTGAAAATTCATATACTTTTAAGGGTATCAAAATTTCAGAGGTTTCAGTTTGGTTTTCTCAAATAGATTTATGGTGTTAAACTCTTTGAAAGAGTTTTAATGTTGCTATGACGTGAAACGAAAATAATTCACAACTTTTATTCGAAAATAGGAATGTTAATTAAATAACTTTTGCTTGAATAAGAAAAATAATGAATGAAAAGTTTAGCTGAGATTGAGAAATTGATGAAAATTACAGATTTTTGGTGATTAAAGAGATAAACTCGAGGATCGTACAATTTTTATTGGGGGATTTCTACAGTTTATTCGTGTTCAATTCGACTTATGCCTTGCTATCGAAGAAGGAATAAGTCGGGTTTTCGTATCCGTTGACCTGCATTCCAGCGACATGACGCTCTTCTGGAGTGTACACGTCAACTTCAATAAACCCACGCATGGCGCGGCGACGACGAGCCACCATTATCAAGAGTGAGATGATTGAGAAAACTATGACAGACAAGACGAAGAAGACGACGTTGGCGGAGCTCATCACAGTCTCAGTGCGAGTTATCTCGTTTTGGACCAACTTTTCCTTGCGGTAGAATGATGGTGGGTCCTCAATGATTGGCTCGATATCGACATGAAGTTCCTTGATGTTACGCTAAAAGATATTCTTCTTCTTTTTATTGCGATTTTTTATAATTTCTCACGTCTTCCTCGCTGTCAGACGAGGATGATGAACTATCGTCATCGTCATCATCGTCATCATCGGCGTCTTCTGTCTGAACGGATGTCTCAACAAGTTTTGGCGAATCGACGATCTTCTTTTCCTAAATTCCACAAATTCATCACAATACGAAAATGTTGAATTCAACCTCCTTTGGCTTGATGTCAATCACCTTGACCTTTTCGGATTTGTGAACCTGCTCATCATCTTCGTCTTCGTAATATTCATCATCATCTTCTTCGGATACTGACGACTCAGTTGGTAATACCTTTACGTCAACAACCTCGTTTGGCGAAAGTGGATCAACCGTGGTGGATGGTGCCTTGACGTCAAGGATGTCGGTTGGGTGAAGTTTTAAGTATGCCTCTGCATACAAGTCCACGAGTTTCTTGTTCTTCGCATCGGGGTCAAGAGAGTTCATTCCAAGAATTTCTTTGTCGCTAAGCTCTGGGGTATTTTCGCGACGATAATCTTGCCAATAAGCAACTGAAATATTTAAGTGATCTTAAGTTTGACAGCAATAATGTCTTACGAGCAATCGGACGGACGTATTTCTGCAAATCGGGGAAATCGTGAAGCATAGCCAAAGTGCCATTGATGCGAAGATCGATGTAGCTTAAAATGACTTGCTAAATTTTGTGCTTGAAAACTATGCAATACCGAAGTCTGTGGAGAACAGTTGGCCTGAAAGCAGCAGCCTCAGCTTTGTCGGTTCTGAGCAAGTGACGGTATCTGTTCAAAGTATGCATGCGGTCTTTCTCTTCGGAGCGGATGTAGATTTTGAGGTTGTTCAAGACATTGTGTTTGTTTGGCTTGTTGAGGTGAGTAGCAAGCGCTTGACGATAATTATGAGTAGCCTGAAATAAGGATAGGTAGAACTTAAATTCAATTCGAATATTACATCTCTCTTCTTCTCATTGAGAAGGGCTTGTACGCGTTCTTCATGAACAGCCTCGATTTCTTTTTTCATTTTCTTGTGTTCCTCCTCAAGTGACGAAACGGTCTAAAATAGTTTTTATTAAAAAAAAATAATCTAATAGTCTCTATACCTTTTGGAAGCGGTTGCTCATGTTAAGTTTGAACTTGTCAGCTCCTTTCGGGTCGTCCTTCTTCATAGCAGCATATCGGCTTTCAAGTTGTCCCCATTCTTTCATAACCTAAAAGTTCATTTTTAATTCAATTGTATTTTGTATGCAAGTTTTTGTTATGTTTCGTCATTTGAACCCATTGCGTATCTTTTGTTTTTCATTTTGTCATTCCCTTCTTTTTTCGTTCACATGATGAATTGAATCTTGACATGACGCGGCAAAAAACGGGAGGTAAAAATCACCTTATCGACTTTCTTGCGATGACGTTCGTCCAAACGTTCTTCGGCTTTTTTGAAGTCGTCATGCTCATGAGACCAATCAGCAGCCTTGAAGTATGGATCCTGCGCTTCGTCGTCCTCGTCCTTTTCCCCATCATCTATAATTGACATTCAGAAATGATTTAATAAACAAAAACCAACCATCCTCCTCATAGTAGTCCGTGATATCGTCGTCATCATCGTCCTCATTGAGTTCGACATCTTCTATCGAACCGACTTCCTTTGATTCCTTAGTAGCTAAAATGAAACATTTAAAATGAAAAATTTCCAATCCGCATTTGTACCTTCGTTGGGGCAGCACACGAATTCAACACCAGTGAACATGTCCAATGCGCATGGCTCAAGAACAGAGAAGGAACGAACAATCATGGATTTGTCATCCTTGCTTCGCTGAAAAAATATGTTTATTTATCAAAATAGTTTATTTTATTACCTTAGCAGCGCACTGTTTAGAAGCCTCATTCTTCCAGTGTTGATAGTCGTAGCATTGTTCGAGAGAGTTCACATGAGAGAACTGGCAGTCATGAGGAACTTGAAGAGCTTCCGAGTGGAATTCTCCGTCTAAAAATAATTATTTCAGTGTTCGTTGAGTGATGATGCTCCAAACCAATGCACTGGTAAGGTCGAACACTATGGGTCCACTTGCATGGGTTTCCTTCTTCGCGGCACCATTTGTCGATGCTCACTTCATGTGAGTATTCAACGATGTTAGTGATGTTAAGCGATGGGTAAGCCTGCAATATTTGGCTGCTTAAATTTGTTTTTTTTTTTGAATAACACATTGTCGTTTAAGTATTATTTTCTCTTTCAGTAAAAGTTAAGAACCTGTCAATCACCTTTATCATCATTTGAAGAATTAAAATCAATTAAGCCATCATTATGACACATAGAATGCTTGCAATGTTTGGTGGTGATATTAAAACAGGTTATTATGGACGTGTTTTTAAAATAAATGGCGAGATCCCTCGCCTATTCGGATAATTTTTTGTCTGGATATGCTACGAATGTACATGCTCGACTAACTCTTGATAGATGTTACTCAAGTGTAACAAGATATACCCGTTCTCGGCTCAATTCCCCTGATGATTCTTTTCCATATTTGTATATATGTGTGGTCTCTAATTCACAACACTTTTGCTATACATAGTTTATGTCGATTTTGAGTGACTACTGCTGATACTTCGGCAATGTTTCAAACATTGCTTTCAATGTTATTAAGTTTGTTCAAAATGTGGCAGTGATAATGGGTCCCCGAAGACTTAGGAAAACGAAATTATCTACATCATTGCGCATGTTGCCAAATTTGATAAAAAATTCTCAAGTCTTGTTGTGAGTGACTTTCGATTTTTTTATTCGATCATCCTATATGGCTGATGGAAAATGGCGCGGGCAAAACAGCTGTTTTAACGTCCTTGATGTCGAATGGAATTATATGTTTCAAACGCGCATTCGCCGTCATTGATGTTTTTCCTGCATTTCGAAAGGTCAACGTACCGTTTTACAGTATTTGAGAATGTCAAGCTTTCCAGTGAAGCATGTGGCATATCGTCGATCATCGGATTTCCAGGTGCCGTCTTCTCCAAGATATTGATTACGATAGCCACACGAAAAGGCTACCATTGGAACGAATTTTTCATGGCGTTTTGTGAGGCCGGAATTAGCGGCAGCGCTCTGTAATAAGCATTGAGTTGGGATTTGTGTTCCTTGAATTAGTTGTAAAGAATTCTGCAGACATCTTGAATTATACATATATATATATATGTATATATATTTATAATGTATTAACTGATGTGAGTCTTTTCAGGCGACATAGTCAAATATTGACAACTGTGTGGTTTTCGGCAGGTCGCAGACAAACAGTTCTCTCCTTTCATTCAATCAATTCTCATCGTTCGCCTCTCAATCCTTCGCAAGACCTTCCACTCAATCGAAAACCGAGATTTAAAAAAAAACCAACCTCGACGTATGTTGTAGCAACGACTAACGGTATAAGCAGACCAATCAATAGTTTACCCACCGTCATGGCTGAAAGAAATGGAATTCATGAAGAAGAATTTTCGAGAATGATATAAAGAGTGAAAAATATCAAGAAAAAGAGAACGCGTGTGGCGAACAACAATGATACGAAAGATTTTGTTTCGATTTGATGACCCATTCGGAGGCCACCCTCCGTAATAATGAAATGAGATTTTCAACTGAACAATCACAGACAGCGCGTGGATAATAAATTCAAGGTAGAAGATTGATAGCGGCGGACGGATTTCAAATGTTTGTTGAGTTGGCCTACGCGCCTGTCGAAGATAAACCACAAATTGGTAGCGCGGTTTACCGTTGTTGAAAAATGATAAAGACGAGTATCGAACGGTTTTTTTGAAGAGGAAAAGGGTGGCTGCGCGCGAGACACACATTGATCCATCATATCGGGGACGACAAGGACAACGATCAAACGTTAGGCTTTTAATTTTTTACTACAATTGTGGTTAGTTTTGCAGGGGAATTTTCTGAATCTTAATTGGTTTGATGGTTTTAGACAAAGAAATATTGCTGCGGAATCAGTTGAACCATAATCATTGAGTTTGTGACTCATTAAAATATTGCGAAACGCTAGTTAATTGGAAACGATTATTCGATATCATAATGTCAAAAATAAACGTAACGTTCTAAATCACAGAAAAAGGGCAAATCGATATGTTTACAATGCGCTGTAGTAGCATTTCATATTTGCTCACACTTTGCAAAGGTTTCATATCCAAATGCCTGAATTGAAAAATCGGACGCCAAAATCTATTTTTCGAAGTAATAGTTCGCAATCTAAAACGAGCCGAAAACAATATATTTCACTTCAATACTTCGTAGGGTCTTCGTCTGACAGCAAGAAAAAAAAACTAAATTATCTTTTTTCTAAAGAAAAACGGAGCTAAAGAGAAGGCCTTCGCCGAAAAAAAGAAACGTAACAAAGTTAAAAACAAGGCTATGTTCTGACAAAAGGAACAATTCAACGCCGCAAAAAATCAAAGAAGCGAAGGGCATGCGCGTCGTCAAAAATGTTGGCGTTTTCCGAAGATGAATAATGGAATCGGTTGAGCTTGGAAGCAAATTTGTTCTACACACTCGACTTGTGAGCAATTCGAAAGCAATTATTTTAAGTCGTATTGGTTCAACGAAAAATACAGCTGAAAATTGCGGCAGTACGAATGCAGCGCATCGCAATAAGAGTGCAACACTTGAATGATTCAACTGGTTTGAGCTTGGAAAATAATGTACAAACTCGGAAAATTTAAGCTAAATTTACTCACATTATTATCAGATTACTTGCTCTCGCGTTATCACAAAATGAATGCTGACATAAAAATTTGTTGTGATATTGAAGTTTCAAATCGTATGCATAAATTTGCGTTAGAATTACAAATTTTAGTACAGGTTTGTTGCGGAGGAAATTGTGGAAAGCGTGAATCATATTTTAATAAACTAAGTCGATAAATCTTTGAGATAACTTCAATCTCGCAAAATAAATGAATCAATCCATTTTGATTAGGAAATTAAATTGTTTTTTGTAGCTTCTTTAATTCTATAATCGTTTGTGGAACGCGAAATCGGATATCGAAACAAACAAAACACTATATTTCAAAATTAGGAATTCTGTTTTCATTTCTATAGAAACTGTTCTACTTTATCTTGTGAGAGATCAACTATACACGAACAAAAAAAAAGCGCCAAGAAAGTAGAAAATACGCACAAGTATTAGATGACACAAGATAACGGATCAATGTCACCGAGTTCACGAATTGAAATCGGCAAGTCGAAATTTTCAAACGTTCGCTTTGGCCTTTCGTCGGCGGCAAACTAGTGACCAAAAAGAAGTATAAATTTCATTAATAAAATGTTTATTTTTTCGCAGAAATACTGATAATGTCTTTTTGCAAATGTAACGAATTAAGTGAATTTCAATTAAGTGTACTGACATCTCCTACGGCTGTAACTGCCACAAGTATAACCTAACAGAAGTCGACGATGGAGGAAGAAAAAAGTGAGAATAGAAATGTATTATTAAAAACCGTGGTCCTTCCAATATGTATGTTTAAAGGAGACATCAAAACGTACGACGTTAGCAAAGCAACATTACGAAACAACAAAAATGGGGAGAAAGACGGCTGACTCAGCACCCATCGCAAACACTGCCTTTCCCACTATTTTACCACTTGAGATGGAGATTCGAACGAGTTGGCGGTACCTTTGATTGCGCAATACCGGCACCGACATTATCGATTTAACTTTTTATTGTGGAACTTTACTAACATATAGTATAGGATTTTCCACGATGGCGGTTATTAGCAAAACAAACAATAAACGAATTAAAGTTGACATAACTCAAGCGAATGGTTCGCGTCTAGTCTTCCGATGATTGATTTTGCTAGTGGTGAGAAAAAATGAATGAACTATATTTCTTTGTTTATTGTCAAAAGTTTTTCGAAACATTTTTCAAATGTAACTTGAACAATTATCGAAAATTTAGGCCATTTTATATTTTGCCGAAATAACGACATTTTGAAGTACACAATTGGTACCTTCGAAAATGCGATTAAAACCTTTTCAAAGAAAACATTTTAAACAGACCACAGACCTTGAGTGAATCAACACTTTCGCGTAAGACAAGCCATCTGCACTATGAGACCGCAAAATGAGTCAAGACAAAATGGAAATATGTGGCACCTGCCAGACGGAGCGCATCGTTTCTGTCTGTATATATGCACAAAACGCGAGGAAACACCAGCTAGTAGGGGCGCTGCACGAGGACGAGAAGGGTATTGTTAACAATATCGATCGATTAAGCCGCGCAGCGCAGTAACCACGAATGCTGCGTACATTGCGGGTTATTGATTGGAGGGTGTATGATTTATGAGGGAGAAGTATGATAGAGTGAGTGGTCGAACCATGCAATGACTGGTTGCTATTATTATTATTATTTTTGTTGTTATTGAAGCAGTTATAGTGTTGCTAATGGTGGTCTACTTTTGATGGTAGGTTTTCCATTTGGCATGAAACAGCGTGCCGCTTGCTACAACTACAAATCGAATGCGACAAAAAAAACATGACCTTGTTTCTCATCCCATTTAAAACAAAAGTGCAAATACAGACATTATTCTAGTCCTTGAAAGTATATGAATATGAATGAGAACAAATGGTTGGGAACCAATTTTATCCAGCCATTTTTTCATCGATTATTTGAGTGGGTAACAATTATTTTACTATAGTCAAGAAAATTTAAAACAAGCTTAAAAATCCTATTAACGTTTTCAATTTTTGTAATATTTGAAGAATTTTAGATTGGTGAGTAATCTTCACATGCAAGAACCAATATGGAGCAATGTATTCATTTATTGTTATAAATTGATGCTAGATATCGGAAACATTGATAAATAAACTTGCCGCATAAACACTTGACAGAAATTAATTAGATATGAAGGAAGGCAAATAAGCCGCAATGCTTGTTGAATATTAATGAATAACTCATTGCGCATACGTACTCACAAGGAAATTAATAAATTTCACAAAGGCAGGGAGGGGGAGGCGGCGAGCTTTAAGTTGAGTGGGCTCACCGCTACTAATGAAATAGCATACGCAGGTGGGAAAAGGTGCGAGTGTTTGCATTCCCGGGAAAGTCCTGAATAGAACGAGGTAAGATGCATGTGCTCGAGATGCGCAAACACACCTACATACAAACAGAAAAGAAAAGAGAACAGAGTTGGTTGACAATGAGATCAGGAACGCAGGCAAATTGAGGGTCGGGACATATGATTCAGCTATATTTATATGATAACAATCAAAGGCAATGAGTGTGCGCAATAATATTGCGGTCGTGACCTTTTAAGGATTTATGAGGTATGCATTTTTTCCTCGATTTTCTTTCATTTTTCTGTTTTGAATAGAGAAAGAGAACCTAGGCATTTTCTATGATTCATAAAAAAAAAGAGGGAAATATGATACAAAATTCAGTGGTCTGACATTTGTAAACGATGACTAGGCGAATGAGAAATGAGAATTGCAAAGATATCCAGCTCATGAAGCTTCATATTGATGTTTTTTTGTGCTTTATATTTCCTTGACGCATTTTTCACGATAGATTTTTTTAGAAAAAGTGAAAAAAGTGTTTTTGTGAGGTGTAAGCTAAGTGTGAAGAAACTAAAAGAAATCCTGACGAAATGGCTTGCCGTTGCCACGTACACATAATTGCATGGCATTTTCGAAACAAATCGAAAAAATCTTTACACAAGGCCATGCGCATTACTCGCAATAAAGATACGCAGTGGCTCGATAGCAGATGTACTTTAAAATTAATTCGAACAAATAAATGCAATAGATGAAATGTAGAACATTGTGACAGAAGAGAGATTTTAGCATATTCCCTAAAATTATAACAGTCATTATTTTTCAAAGCGTAAATGTAACATTTTGTGGCTTGGTGAATAGCGGTCTTCTCGCAAAATGTTGCCATAGTGACTAGCGGATTAAATGCTTTCGCTTTGAATGCTATTTCTTTCAAGCCACAGCCGCCAAACACACCATTATGAGTAAATTATGTACAGGAGCTATACATTGTTTCATTATTATGTTGAGGTTTAGTTCCTCGTAAAACAATTGAATATCCAAGATCTGCGATGAGCCATTTGGTTAAATGGCCATATGGTAGAGGAGTGAAAGAAAGTAAAAGCTCGATTAGGATAAAAAATTGGTTTTGCAGAGGTCCTAAACCGACCGAAACGATGGCGCGTAAAATTAGATGAATTGAAGCGAAATGGATGGTTGGTTGGCGGCCCACGAGAATTAGGGGCAAACCCTTCCCTTGCGGGCCGACGAGCCACCGAATCCCACATTGTAGAGTGCGTATGTGTCGGAGGCTTTCGTCCTCCCCCTCCCCACATCCTTCAAGTAGCAATTTGGCACCGGACAGATGCGCGTTTTGCATATCTCTAGAATGTCATCATCTCGTCGCCAGCGAACATTAATTTCGCAACCGCGTTTTAC